GGGCGCTATGGCAGTCGGGCACGCCTTAGCTTAGCTTGCCTAGCCTAATCGGCCTTTCGGCTTGCTGGCCTGCCTGCCGGCCTAGCGAAGCGAGCGAAGCCCAGCCAAGCCGAGTGAGGCCCCTGAATCACGGGGCGTTATTCGTAGTGGGGCCGAACCGGGCCGAACCCCGCGCCGAAGCAGTCAATAAAGAGTGTGTGTGTGTGTGTGTGTGTGCATATACTTGGCCGTGAGTAGGAATACACCTGAAGCGCCGCGCGTCCAGCCTATAGCACAGCCTGGCCGCGTGGCCGGTGTAGCCACCCTTCCCGGCCATAAATAAAAGGCCCGACAAATTACGGGGGTCCCATCCGAGTGAATAAATTGTGCGGAACGGGCATCGTGGCGTGTCATGCGCCTGGCCCGCCGCGAGGCCCGTGGCCCGCGAGGCCCCCTGGCACCCCTTGACAGTGCCCCGGCCGTGCCCCGGCCGTGCCCCGGCGGCATTGAAGCCCGTTCATGAGTCGATTAGAAACGCCCGTCCTGTTCGCCATATGTGCCTCGCGGCGGGGCGACGCGGGGCCGTTCCAGTTCCGGTAACCCGGTCACCCCCCCCCCCTCCCCCTCCCTTCCTCCCGGCCGCCACCGGAGGGGTGAGCACATGCAAGGGCTGCCCGTAACGATATTACCGATTTGTGCCCGTGTCGGCTCAACCCTCCAAACTTCTCGCGTCATGTATATTCCGGAAAAAAAATGGGAACTGAATTATTTTTGTTTGTAGACTCACACTCTCGCCGCTGTGCGAAACCTCGAAAGACACGTCCCAGATCATCGAAACCGATTCCAAAAGCCATTGGCAGTGCGCAATGCAATCCAACGCACTTGCAGTAACTCGGCTCGGCGGGATTCGAACCCGCGACCACCACAGATGCGGGGAGTGCAGGGAGGGCCGTGCTGCGCTGGCTGGCTGCCTGACTGCCTGGTGGCCCGTGGGTGGGCCGTATGCAGTATGCAGCAGCCAAGCTGGTTTGTTTGCCGTGCCGGGCTGGGCGAATCGGCCGACACACACACACACAAACACACACACACAGAGTTAGCGCAAAGTAATCACAATGCTCCGTCCTGCCGATGACGTCACAGGTGAAGGCCAACCCTGCCGTCGTAACCCCCCCCCCCCACTTGTGATAGCAGACAACGTATTAGTTTACCAAAATTTTCTCAAAAAAAAAATTTAAAAAAAACAATGAGCTGCGGTAAATTGAATCTTGGCTCTGGGCCTGGGAAATGCAGGTACCTAAACGATGCGCCCAGGTCGCGGCGCGTCGCGGCCACACGCACCCTGCCCTCCGACTATTCATAGCACCTTGTGAACGCGTGGACGTGTGCGGTGCCGGTCCCGGGTAGTCCCGGGCGGGCCGGTCCCAAGTCCCACGCCGGGCGGTCCCGCGTCTCGTCCGTCTCCACCCGAAATAAACACAACAAGGGCTCCGCCGCGGCCGAACGGCCACAGGTTACTGCAGGTACTGCTCAACACGGTGTCAATCAGCTGTCCAGCGTGGGCAGGGCCGGCAGGGCCTGCGCCGAGGGAGAACTCTCTTTCCCTCCCTCTTTCTTTTTGTTCGACAACTTTGTTGTTGTTTTCCCTCTTTTTTCGGAAATAATGACCAGTGCCGCGCGCGTGTGTGTGTGTGTGTGTTTACCTTGCTGTCACTCTGCGGTGGGGGCGGGGCACGGCGGGGCCACCGGCGTGGGGGGCACTGCGCTGCACTGCCCCGGCACTGGAAGCAGCCGAGAGTGGCAATTAGACCGTTCGACGAGTCGTCAAATTAATTCATAGCGGTGCGCGAGGGCCGCGTCCGAAACGCGCGGCGTGCCAGTGGCGTGCCACTGCTGCACTGGACGAAAAAAAAAAACCAAACAAACAAAGAGCAGCCACCGTGGCGATGGCGTTCGAATAACGCCGTGGCGGCAACGGTGCTCCAAATGCAGCCTCTGGCCTGCTGCCGATGGTACCTAACCAACGGGTACCCAACCCGAAGCCTTAATAACAACGAGAGCTGCTAAACGAGCTGCTGGGTAACGATGTCTTCACTATTTACATAAAACGGGTGCCGATGTGGGGCGTGGCGTGGCCCGGCCAGCCCGGCCATGGCCCCCGGGGGAAAGGCAGGCCGGGGGAGGGGGAGGCTGGCTGGCCGAGGCTGGCCCGGTTCGCAGCGGTAGGCATACGGCGCCAGTGATGAGACCTTCAAAGTCGCTCTTCCCTCTGTGTGTGAGTGTGTCCGGGTTTGTGCTTTTGATGAAACGAAGCGCGGTCGGCGATTATGGTGGCGAGGTCCATCATCGTGCTGCCCTGCAGAGCCCTGCCCTGCAGAGCCCTGCCTGCCCTGGCCCCTTCGCGTTATTTGTTGAGACAATTAAAGTGGACCTGGGCCGGCAGAGGCCGTGGGCTGGCTTGGCCTGGCCCGGGCTGACTGCACTGCCGCGGTGCTTCGCAGGTGGTCTGGGCGGGGGCTTGGCTGGCCTGGCCGTGGTACCGCACTGCCCCCTTCTCCGCCCTCCCCGATAATAAATACAGTCGTTGCCTGCTCATTTCGTTATTCAAACCATATAAGCTCGTGTGGATGCCCACTGGATGCCCCTTGGCTCGGCGTGCCCGTCAAGGAGTCTGACGGCGTCGACGGAGTGGCGGTACGCAAGGCGAGCCGCCCGCCAAAGTGAATTTCGGCGACGCAAACCTTAGCCGAGCGGTCTAAGCAGTTGGGTTGAAACTAACTTCCGCTGGACGGGGTCGTGGGTTCGACCCCGGCCAAGTAACTTTTTTTTTTTTCGCATTTGAATGGAATGCGGCCGCCCCGTTGGTCGGGCTTGCTCTCGGCAAAAATTGCACGGCTTCATTTGCGTAAAGAAAGGCACTACGGACAGGGCATCAAAAATGGCGGGAAAAGTTGGAAAGGCTTCTCATGGGGAAGGCCGTCGGTGATAAGGTCATGCAACTCTCCCAGCCTGCCTGCTGGCCTGCTGGCGCGTCCGCGCCACTCATTTGACTGAGAAACAAGACTGGCGTCGTGTGCGCAGTGTGCGAACGCCGTTGCGCAAGCTTCGGGGCGAAGGCGGTGCGGGCCGAGGAGAAGAAGAAGGAGGAGAAGTAGGGGGAGTAGAGATTAAAAGTGCCGTACCACGTGGGGCCGTGCTCGCTATTGATTCTCCTGTCTGCGAGACAAATGCTGATTCCATTATAATATGCAAATAAGTGGGCGCGCGCCGCGTAGCCTCGGCGTAGCCTCGGCGTAGCCTCGGCGTAGCCAAGCTCAGCAAAGCTCAGCCAGGCCAGTCCTCCTCGAGTCAAAGCCCCCCGCGATCCTGGCCGGGCCGCACCTCGCGCCACGCCGCGCCACGCTCGGCCGCGGCCGGAGAATGCGCTCCATCAGGGGGAAGAAATGAGCGGTCGCTACGCCGTGCTGCTACGTACACCCTGAAGGCCCTCGCGGACAACCCCCCAACGGGGTATCGCCGCCGGTGCTGTTTTGGTGGGGCCGCGCGCCCACGCCTCGGCCGCTCCGGTCGTTGCCCCGGCCCGCCGTCTACACTGTATTGCCTAATCGAGAATCAATAACAACACCAGCCGAACTCTTGCCGCTCACTGTTGTTGTTGGTGCACTTAGCGTGTGCAATGAGGATCGTGTTTGCTTTACGGACGTTCCGTTCCCGACTGTTCCAGGCTCGGCCAGGCCGGCCAGGGGCCCGGAGTCCCGGAGCGCCTGGAGTCCGGGGCGTGGGGTTGCCGTCAAGTCGTGACGGATAGCGTTTCCTCCGGGCCTGCCTGCGCCGTGTCCGCCGTCACGGCACGGCACGCCACGGCACGGCGCAGCACGGCACGGCGCATTCGCTGTTACCGAATCCTCTGCCTCCATTTTCAGCGTAATGCCCGTGCCGGCCGTGTAACAGTACTTTGTACGCGCGCCCATCCACCCGCCTGCCTGTCTGTCTGTCTGTCTGTCTGTCTCTGCGTGTCTCTGTGATCTGTTTGGATGCGGTTTTTTTTAACCCAAGCCGGCCACGCCGCGGTCAGCGCGTCGTTGGCCGTGCTCTCCTCGGACCGCACGCGGTACAGTGCGCCGTGCCCGCAGCTACTTAGTTTTGATACCCGAGCCGGACGCTGGGCTACGCTAGGCTCCGCGGTGCGTGCCTCATTATCCTTCTCCGTCTCAATGAGGCACAAACTGGGCAATTTTTCTCGGGAGGTTGGAAAGGTTAATGCGACGGAGAGAGGCAGAGACAGTGTGTTTGAACACGGTGTTCGAGTCGTGGCACACCTGCCTTGTCTTGTGTTTCGTCGTCTCTTTGTCTCGTCCGTGGCGTCATCGTCGCTGTGGCGAGCGTCCCGGAGGTGAAAATAAGAGGAGTCTTGTCACGAAAGGGAAGCTCTACTCGGGGCGCTTGCAGTGCATCCGCAGTGCATGCAGGACGAGGAGGGCGACGTCGGCGACGTGATGAGGTGCGGCGGGGAGGGGGTCCAGGTGTGTGCATTGGGTGCGGATGCGCTTGGAGTTAGGTCCCTCGGTGTCGGATGGCGCGGCTCGGCACGGCGCGGCTGCGGGGCCGCCCGGGGCAGCAGGCCAGCACACGTGGGGCGCACGTTGGCCGCCCCGCACTCCTTGGCGTGCTGCGTGCACTCCGTCGTGGCCGTGGTGCTCTGTGGTGTGTGGCGACGCGTGCCGGTACACCGCAGCGAACCCCCTCGCCGCACCCCGCCCCGCCCCGCCCCGGCCCGCCCCGCCCCGCCACGCCCCTTCCGGCGCGCAGCGCGTCGCCGACTGGACACAGCTGCATTGCAGGAAGCTGCGGCTCTCCTCCCCTCTCCCCCCGAGCGCACCGAAATGCCGAAACCCTTGCAGTGCACCGGAAAAGCACGTTTTCCAAATGAGGGGCAAAGTAGTGTGGGTTGGACGTGCTCGCTCACCGCACTTTGGCGTCATCGCCGTGATGGCCGTACTAACGACAGCCTGGTCGTGTTGCAGATGGACAACCCCGGCTACCAGCACGACGACCCGGCGGCCCTGCAGCAACAGCAACAGCAGCACCAGCTGCAGCTGCAGCAACAGCAAATGCACCAGCAGCTGCAGCAGCGGCCCCTGCCGGGCACGCCGGGCACGCCGGGGTCCAACGACATGGCCGCCATCGCCGAGCAGATGCAGGTGAGCCGGACGAAACGGGCCGTGTCCAAGGCCGTCGCACTTCGCACTGTACCTCCGGACGCGGACTAACTTGTTCTTCTTCGACCAGGGCGCGCAGCCGCTGCACCAGCCGCTGTACCACGCGCTGGCCCAGGAGAGGCGGGGCTCGGCGCCGGGGTCCAGAAGATCGCGGTCCCTGAGAGCGCCGCCGAGGAGGCCGCCGCCGCCCGTGCACGCCGTGCCCGAGGACGCCAGCAATCAGTACACGGTGAGCTACTTGTCTCTCTCGCTCTTCAACGGCGCGCGGTCTGTCTCTCTCGCTCCCCCGCGGCGCCGGCCGCCCGGGCTTCCGAACGGGCCGGGCATTGATTGGTGCCGTCCCGTCCCGACGTCCCGACCGGCGCACCGATTGTGGTTTCGTGAGGGAGTCCAGGGAGTCCGGGACGGTGCCCTGCACGGCCAGCACGGCCTGCGCGCCCTGCATGCAGGAAACACGGTGCGTAATCGTGATGAGTCGGGTAGCCGCCGCCGCCAGGCCGCCACCGCAGCAGACCATCGGCCAGCCATCGGCCACCGCGGCCAGCCATCGAAAACGCAGGGCGCGCCATATTAGAATGGGGATTACTATTCTCATTATTATTTACTCAAACCGCATGTTTGAGGTCGCTTACCGTGGCGGGGCCGGGCGGGGCGAGCAGGCATTACCGTGTGTGCTTTACGCACTGGACGGCCAGCGCCACAGGCACGCGCTGAGTGTGGGAAAGCCATTTCCGTTGGAAATTGGGAATCCAACTGGCGGCTGCTGGCCGTGCCGTGCCGTGCCGTGCCGTGCCGGGCCGGGCCGGGCCGTGCCCAAGTACGGGTATCGGGGAGTCATTTGGGGCCGTTCGGCCGTTTGGGTGGTCGATTCTAATGTCCTCGTTTTCCCCCGTCTGTGTGCAGCTCAACAACAGCAGGGTGAGCCTGGCGTCGTGGTCGCCGGGCCCCAGCCCCGGCGTGGGGGCGCGCAGCACGACCAGCAGTCCGGCCGCCTCGCCGCACACGCCACCCCCGCACCCCGCCGCCACCGCCCTCAAGGTGCGCAGGAACTTCATCAGCAATGCCAGCCCGCCCGAGTACCAGCCCCACCAGCCCGCGCCGCCGTCCTGGCCGCACCCGCACAAGCTGCACCCCCTGCGGAACGCCCTGGCCTACCCGCTGCCGCTGCTGCAGGTCTGCAACAACCAGCTCGGACAGCTCGGACAACTCGGACAGCTGGGGCTCGTCGAGGACGGCATGACCACCAAGAAGCCGTGCCGCTGCCCGCCCGAGGAGCCCGTCCACGAGTACTCGTCCATCATCGGGCCGCCCCCGCACCACCCGCACAAGGCCGCGCTCGCCGCGTCCACCGAGCCGCTGTACTGGTCGCCCATCCTGAAGCGGGCCGCGGGCGGCGGCGCGGGCGGCGGCGGCAGCGTGGGCGGAGGCGGCGGGGGCGGCGGCAACGCGGCCGGCGACGAGGGCACGCTCAAGAAGGGCTGGAGCGGCACGTCCAGGGTCTTCAAGTACATCGTGCAGAGGCGCGGCAACGGCAAGGGCCGGCCGCGACGGGGGTGGCGGTGGCTGCTGTGGCTGCTCGGCGCCGCCGCCCTCACCGTCCTCATGGCCATCGGGCTCGCCGCCTACCTCACCTCGGGTGAGTGCACGCCGTGCAGTGCGCCGGTCTGTCTCTCTCGCATCCCTGCGGCACGCCCCACGAGTGCGAAAGAGACAGCGACGAATCGTGCGAAATCGGTCAACTGGTTTAGGATTGAAAGTCACACCAATTGGCAGTCGCGTTGACGCGTATCTCCTGGTTTGCAGGTTTCGGGCTGATTCGGTCAACGGAGGCGGCACTGCGAGCGAACGGTGAGTACACTGTGGGTGCCGAGGGTACCTTGCATGGCGATGGTCTGGCTGCCAGCGCCGCCAGCAGCGGGTCCCACCGAGGGCCCCACCCACCCCAAGCACGCCGCGGTGCAAAACAATGCCCTTCGTGAGGCCCGCCTAGGTCCGCCTGCACTGCCTGCACGCAGCCGAGCTGCGCCACGCCAAGCTAGGCAGGCCACAGGCAGGCCGGCTGGCGAGGACTTGGTCCGGTCCGGTCCGGTCGATATACTCCATGACATGAATGAGTTGGCCGGCGTGGCCTGGGCCGTGGCCTGGGCCGTGGCCGCCTGGGAGATAGTGGGGCGTGACGGAGGCGATGCCATTCACCCTGGCGTCGCGACGCCCCCGCCGCGCCCCGCCCCCGCCGCCCCCGCCGCGCCCCGCCCCGCCCCGGCACGCCCCGTGACACCCTGGAACGCCCCTGGCGCATCGTGACTGCAGCCGCCCCGCCGCGCGCGGCCACGCCCGCCACCTGCTCCAAGCCACATCCCGGGCGGACGGCGGACGCGGCGGACGCCCACATGCTTATTGCGGTCGGGTCGCTCGGTCCGACGCGATTCAAGAGGAACCTTGAATATGAATGTGAATATGTGTGTGGCTCCGCCTCGCTCCGGCTTGCTCCGCGCCGTGGCCGGCCGAAACGTAAAGGCAGGGGAAAGCTCATGAACATACCTCTGGGGATTACGGGGGACTCTCATGCCGCGCCGTGCCGTGCCGTGCCCCGCCACCGCGGTAGTTTATGACTCATATCACGGGAGCCGGGAGTCTGTACACTGGCCGCGTCGCCGTGGCGTCGCGTCGCACGCCGTGAGGTGAGGCCGGTCCTCCCTTCCCAGCCTTCCCAGGCTCCTTGTTGTGCCGGTGGGAGCGAGAGAGAGAGAGAGAGAGAGAGAGAGAGAGAGAGAGCCGCGGGAGCACGTGCATCTCAACCGTTCACTTATCGCTCCCGTTCTCTTCGGCCCCAACGCTAATCTAATCTGTCTTAATCTCCGCGTCACGTGTGTGCCGGGCCGACTTCCGGTGGCGGCGTGCGCGATCCGGTGTCGCGTCCGGAGTCCGGGGGCCCCGGCCCCGGGGCTTTACCGGCGTCGCGTCGACATCCTCCAGGCCAGTGGGGGCTTCGCAGTGCTTTGCAGCGCTTCGGCGGACTGGTTCTGTCTCTCTCGCACTCGTGGGGCGTGTCGGCGTGCCGTCGGGGTGCGAGAGAGACAGGCGGCGGCGTGTCGTGCAGGTGTATAACAAGCCCGCGGCGGCACCAAAGCCTCCACTAACTGGAGGCCAGGGCCAGACCGGCGCGGAGGAACATTTGTCTTAAATTGCTTACCTGGCGAAAACACGCCGACGCCGCCCTTCGGTTGGCCCGCCGCCGTAATTGTGGCGGCCTCTATGAGGATGGGGTTGGGGGCGGCCAGGGCGGCCAGGGCGGCCGGCACTGCCGGCACACAGGTAGCCAGGTGACTCATCAAAACCGATGCAACTGTCTTCCGCCCGCCGTGCAGGCCGTGCAGGCCGTTTCCGAACTCCGGTGCCCTCGTCGCGCTGTCTCTCTCGCACCCCGGCGGGTCCTCCACGGGTGCGAGAGAGACAGCGCGATCCGCCTCCAGGGTGGCTGGCCGCCTCTAATCACGTAGCCGTCAGGGGCGCCGCCGTGCCGCCGCCGTCGGGGTCCGTAACGAACCACATGCCTTCGCTTCCGTTCCTGGTTTCCGTCGTCCTGGCAACGCTCTGGGTTCGCGGACCCAGGCCCCAATCGTTAGGCCCAGCCGCGGAGCAGCGAACCCTGGCACCATCGACCCAACAGGGAGCAGCGGGGCGGCGGGGGCCTCGGCGGGGGCGCGATGCGTGGTGCGTTCGAGAGCATCGCCCTACAATGTAAAATGTAAAATGCAGCGCGCAGCCCGGGGTGGCTCATCAAGACCCTTTCCCAGAACGCACTGAACGCACCCCCCGCGCGGCCCGGAAACAGTAGCAGTGTCCCTGCTATGCAGTGCGCCTGGGGGTTGGGTTGGGCCTGCCGTGGCTTGGGTTGGGGCGGCCGTAGATTCACCTGCTGTGACGGAGTGACGGCACACCCGCAGTGCGATCAACCAATGAATGCCCCGCGTGAATGGAGCTGAATGGAGGCGTCGGAGTGCGGTCCAGTGCGGCCGGCCGGGGGGCTGCTTCCGAACAACGCGCTCTCTCTCTTTCGCGAGCGCTCAGGGGGTGGCCCTCACGGCGCGAGAGAGACAGCAGCAGTTCTGTTGGGCCACGCACGCAGTTACACCCGCTACCTGGCCGACGACGTGTCGTCCGAGATGCTCTCTCTCTATCGCTCCTCCACGAAACGCCCCACGAGTGGGAGAGAGACAGTGGCGTGTTCGGAATCAGTCTGCTGGCTAGGCAGGGCCCCAGCCGCCCAACCTGATGACGGACTTGTCCCAAATTTTACGCTGCCTCGCCGCAGGGCACCCCGGCAGCGCCTTCGTCCCCCTCCCCCTCCCCCTTCCCTCCCCTCCCCGTGGACGAATCAATTTGGTGCCGTCTTTGTTGGCGGCCGGGGGCGGCGCCGGCGAAATGGACCCGCAGGCCTTGCTGCTCCGGACGCGGAACGCGCAGCGAATGCCAAACTGTTATCGAGGCCGCCTGCACTTCCACTGCACTGCCACCGTTCCTCGGAAAACGAAACCATCCATAATGGCCTGGTTTGACTGGCTGCGTCGCGTCGCCGCGTCCGTCGAGCAAGTCCTCGAGTCGAAGGAGCGACTACACTGGTCGCCGCGGTGCTCCAGAAGGCGGCCGCACTTTTAACTTCCCGGAACGCGATCACGCGGCCGGCCACTTTTTAGCACTCTTTAGGGCCCCGCGTTGCTGTTGTCGCCGCCGGTGGGCGTCGCGGATGGGTTTCGGAAACACTCGGCCGCATGGAGCGTCCCGAAGAGGTGCGAGAGAGGCCGAGCGACGCTCAGAATCAACCTTTGTCGACGCGACGCCGCGATGGCCGCGGGCCCTGAGGCCGTCCTGGCCGCGTCCTGGCCGATGCGGCTCGACAGCGTCGTTCGTTTGTTCGTTTCCGTTTGGCTGGGGGCCCAGCAGGCTTGCAGCAAGCAGTCCCGGCCCGGGGCTGCCCAGGGCCCGGTCCAGCCGATGAGGTGGCTTTTTTCCCCGGGAGGATATTTTCTTCTGGAGGCCCGGACTGACTGGACGGGACGGGCCCGTCGCCACCGCCGCCCCGCTCCGCCCCGCCCCGCCCCGCCGTTCGGCCCGTAACTGAGGGAATTCAATAAACCCGAAGCGTCCCGACGCTTTTGTGCGCGTTCGCTGGCTCTGTGTGGGCTGCGCCGTGGCTGCGCCTTCGCTGCGCCGACCGGGATGTCACCGTCGGTTCGATGACGAGGCCGTTTGTGCTCGCTGAGGGCCTTCTCCGCCTTCTGCGTCTCGACGGTCTCGAGTGGGCGCGACGCGATCGACGGCCACTTGTTGCGACTCGCTCTGTCTCTCTCGCACTCCTACGGGCCGCCGCGGGAGTGCGACAGAGACGGGGCACTGCTCAGCCTGCCGATGGCGTCCCATCCGCCGTGGGCAACGCCGAGAGGTCGATCGGGGTCACGTTGGACCATCGCCTTTGAAGCACGTTGCTGCGGCGCGGCGAGGCGCGGCGCCCTGCAGCGCGGCCATAGACTGTGGGTCGTCGGGCACTCCGCTTCCTGCTATTGCTCATTGCTATTCGTCCTCACTGTCCGGCCGTCCGCGCGGTGCATTCGCGGCGCCGTCCCGCGGCCGTGGGTTCGGGTTTCGGGTTCGACTCCCCCTACCGCCGACTTTTTATCTCATGCTCGGTGCGCGGCACGGTGCGCGCGTGCGTCGCGTGGAAATGAAGTAAACGGCTCGGTAGCCGTGAGGCGGTGAGGCCAGGCGAGGCCGTGAGCAGGCCGGCAATGTTGTGGTGCACGTGAGGGGAAGGCACAGCATGTGCCCGGGGGACTTTTCTCCTTTTTCCCCGTCCCGGACGGTCCCGGACGGTCCTGGAAGGGGCAGCATGTGCACCGAGACTCGGACCTCGGCCCTGGGCCTTGCCCCGGGCATCTACATAAGTCTTTTTTCCCTTTTGAGGCCGGCCGGCCGGCCACTGCGGGGGATTGGGGATTCGAAGCCCCGCAGCCCGGTCGGCCCCACGGCCTGCAGGGCATGGGCAGGGCGTGCTGTCTCAGCTCCAGCTGGAATGTGTCGTGGAGAATGGAAGGGCCCTACCCGGCACCGGGCCGGCGGCCAGGGCGGGGGCAGCAGCCAGCCTGCAGCCAGCAGGGCGATCTCGAAAGAGAGAGAGGGGCAGGGTGGGAACGGAAGAGCAGCTTCCTGTGGCACGGCGCGGCACGGCACGGCGCGGCGATGGGCTCATCCCACCCAGAGGGCCCACGGCGGCGCGGCACTGCTGGACCCCTTCCCCTCTCCCGCCGGGGCTTAACTCTCAGTTTTCGTGTGATTATTGGTGTCGCGCCCCGTCACGCCCTTCGGGTACTCCGGGTACTCTACGGGTTCGAGAGGCCTTACCTTGGCTCCGGGTGCTGCCGCCACGCCGCCGGCTCCGGATGGTCCGGATCGTCCTAATGACGCCCGCATAGTCCCAGCGGGCCGATTCCGAAGTCGCTCTGTCTCTCTCGCACCCCCACGGCGCGCCCCATGAGTGGGAGAGAGACAGAGCGACGAGCACAGCTCGGAATCTGTCCCTTCGGACACACGCTTCCCTTCCCAGCGCGCCAAAACAAAGCGGTACCCCACAGCGTGACGCGGCAGACTTCATTCATGCATTCGTCCATCCGTTCATTCATTCATTTGTTCTTTCGTTCGTTCATTCATTTGTTACTTTTGACTGTTCGCAGGCATGGTGACGATTGCGGGCGATTTCCGAGTGCTGAGCGAGCGGTGGACGCCGAGTCTCAAGGACCCCAAGTCCGCGGCCTGGAGGACGCTCGCCGATCGGATACAAAATCAGGTGAGTTTTCCTGGCCAGGGAAGTCCGCTCCCATCGGCAGTAGTAGCGTCTGACGGTCGCGGCAGGCGCGTAGATGTTGATTAAGTTGCCTACCCGCACGGCGCTCACGTCTGTCGTGTTGTTGTTGCAGCTGGACGCGCTGTTCGAAGCCAGCCCGCTGTCCGCGCACTACCGCCACTCCACCGTCACGTCACTGCGGCCCAGCGAGCAGGCCGTGACCGTGGCGTGCGACGTGGTGCTGGGCGACGAGGTGCCCGACCTGGTGCAGCGCGCAGGGCTCGCCTTCCTGCACGGGCTGCGGCGCCGCGGCGGCAACGCCTGGCTCGGCGACCTGGCCGTCGACGTGCAGTCCATCGGCTTCGTCGGCGCCCCCATCTCCGTGGACGCTGCGGACACGCCGCTGGGCCCCGCCCCCACCCCGGACCCCTCCGTGCCCGGCTGGGCGCCCTGGTCGTCGTGGAGTGACTGCTACTGGACGGACTCGCGCGACAGCCGCGGCAGCGGCAGCATGGTCCGGCTCCGCAGCAGAGTGTGCGCCATGGACGGCGGCCGCGGCCGCGCCCTGGACGGCCCCGAGCCCTGTCTGCTGAGGTTGCCGTCGGCCGGCTCGCCGATCGAGTTCGAGGCCTGCACGCAGAGCCACCCCGCGCCGGGGGCGCCCACCGCCGCCACCATTCTCATACAAGGTAAGCACGCCGCGAATCGACGGCCGTTTCTAGCTGTGGAACTTTGCCTAACCTTGCGGTTTTCTCGCAGACACGGTGGTAGCTCTGAACCCCGCCAAGCCGTCCCAGCCTGCAGTCAGCACAACCTCCCCGGAGCCGTCGTCCACGACGATGGCCTCCACCACGCGGCGGCCGCCCTCCGCCATGTCGACGCTCTCTGTGACGCCGACGCCCTCGACTGTGATACCCCCCTCTGCATCCCCCTCCTCCCCATCTCCCTCCCTGTCTTCCTCCCTCGGCGGCGTCTCGACCGCGCCGTCGCTGCAGGCCACCAAGGTGACGCCGACGCCGTCCTCGGAGCCCAACCCGTCGCCCTTCTCCATGACCACGCTGCTGGTGCCGGTGCTGGTGACGGAGCGGCCCACGACCACGTCCACCACCACTGCAGCCTCGCGCCGTGAGTGTCCCAGTGTCCCCGCCAGGCATGCCCAAGCAGTGCGTTGCCTTGCCAGGCTAACCCGGTCGCTTTGCGTGCTTTGCAGGAGAGCCCCGCCACTGCGACGAGTGCTTGGCCGGCGAGGTGTGCGTGGCCCTGGGCGAGGAGTCGGTGCCGCGCTGCCACGCCGTCAAGGACCCGCTGGACCCCACGGGCTGTGGCGGCCACTGCAAGCTCAACTTCGAGTTCTGCCAGCGCTTGGACGTGGACGCCTTCCGCTGCGTGGACGACTCGGTGTGCCTGCCCGGCGAGTGGCGCTGCGGCAACCAGCTCTGCATCCCCCTGGTCAAGCGCTGCGACGGCCACTTCAACTGCTACGACCACACGGACGAGCACAACTGCGGTAAGCACCCACACGCACCCACACTGCCCCACGCGGGGTCTTCCCTGGCGTTCCCTTCCCCCACTTGATTTTCTAGTGTTCGTCGAGCCACAGCCGAAGTGCGAACGGCTATCGGCTCCAGGGTTGACTTATGTATTCATTTCTCTGCTTTTTCGGTTGCAGAATGCAATTTGCAGACCCATTTCCAATGTGGAAATAAGACCTCTTGCCTGCCCAACTCGAAACGCTGTGATGGTGTGGTGGACTGCTGGGACGCCGCTGATGAACTAAATTGCACACGAAGTAAGCAGACTTTGCCTCCTTGCTCATGTTTTGCGTGTTACGTCCAGTCTGAACAATTTCTAAATTATTTCTTAATGCAGCGGTCTCGCTTACAGCTTGCCCTCGGCAAGATCAGTTCACCTGCTCCAACGGCCAGTGCATTCCTCATGCAAGATTCTGCGATGGATTTTCGGACTGTGGGGACAAATCAGATGAACCATTTGGTTGTGGTGGTGACTGCAAGAACCACGAATGGAAATGCGGGTATGTTATTGAATAGTAAAGGTCTTCGGTTGAATTATCCCATTACCTATAATTGTAAATTTAATCCACTTAATTTTTTTTTTCAGGAATGGCAGGTGCATACGGAAAAGAGCTGTCTGCAATGGGGTTGATGATTGTGGAGACCAATCTGACGAAAAGGAATGCAGAAAAAGCAGGCTTCCTGGGAGCTAATTTGAAAGCACTCAAAGCTTTCATGCAAGAACACCAAAAAAGACTCCAAGTGTTTATAGGTTTATTTAATTGTTTTATAAGAGTTTATCAATCTGTAGCCTGATGGCTGTCAGAAAGAAGCCAAAGAGAAATCGTCCATTATGTAAGTTTTTGTTAGGTGATGAAAAGTTCTCAATATTGTGATGTTGGTTTAAGTTCAAGTTTCACCATTCCAAAACTGGGCGGGCGATGATACCCCTAGCAATTGCAAAATTATTGTTACCTTTGGCAAACGAAGTGCATTCACAAATCATATTTTGTGTACTTTTGATCTACAAATGATATCAAATTTGTATACAAAGCAGAAATTTCCATTTAACTTTCACAGTACTGTGAGCGACTGATAGTTTAGGTGACTGTCTTGACTGGAGAATTTATGTAAATTCAGAAAAAAACAGGAGAAACTAGAAGTTATTTTTATGTAACACACTCTAACTTATTTACGTCAGTTAACAATGTGTTGTTGGAAATGGGAACGTCCAAATAACGGAATATTGTTGAAGTATTTGAAGCTTGAGTGCTAGGATAAACACTGACTAGTCATTGAAATTTTAGCTGTTTATTAAAACAATAGTTCTGTATCATATGGTGATCAGTGTAAAGAAGCCTGTATAATATATACTGATAAAGGATAAATGTATATTTGTGTAAAAATATTTTTTATGAAATGAACATGAGCTTATTCTTGTAAATAAACAAAAAGAAAAGTCTAGAAATGCATCTTGTTTCATTTCGTCACTCCACATTCATTCAGTCATTCATTCATTTGGATGGTGTCTAGAAATAAGAGAAATTCAACTCCTGCTGCCAAACAAGGATTTAAGGAGATCTTTTCGACCTGCATCAGGCAGAGGGCCAATTTCTTTTTTATGAGCTACTTTTTTCTTTTTCTTAATTTTAACACTGTCAGCATTCAGAGCTGCTAGCTTTCTCTCACGGATTTCACTGTCCAAATCGCGCTGTCTATATTGACGAACAAAAGCCCCAAGTCCAGGTTCTTCACCAGGAGTGTCTTCGACTACAGCTTCTTGTCCTCCCTTGACTTTACGTTTGGATAATCGCTCACTGAGATCCACATTTTGAGAGAAGAAGTTTGCTTCTCGTTTGGCTTGGGAGATTTCAGTGTTCATTCTCTGCTTATGAACAGCACGTTCATAGGCAAGTCTCTCGCTTAGATGTACCCATTTGAACCTGAGTAAGTGATAAAAATTAATTGACTAGTGTGAAATAAAGAAACAAATGAATACTTAAGAACATTCATACTTACCGAGGAAGGTATTTGATGTTCCAAATGTGGTCGTAAAACTTACTGCGCTTCCTTCCACCAATTTGTTTATTATTTAAATGTGCTGCGACTAGTTTCGCAACCTTTTTCTTCTTGAATTCTACCCATCCCTCAGTAAAATGTTTAGCAGGTTTCTTCTTCCTCTTATTTTTTTGTCCATCTATAAAAAAGAACAAGAAATTTACCAGAATATTATAACCTGATCCACAACACAGCATAACCTCCACGATGCACATGTGCGACGGCTGAGAACACACGGATGGGAGATTCGAAACCTTGGATGTATTAACGATAAAAAAAATAAGAATTGAAATCATATCAAGCAGCAGTTGGCACTTACGTTGCTCCTCGGGTTGAAGAAAGACTCGGTCGATCTCTCCATACTCTCCAAATATTTCACGAACTTTCGTAACATTCATAAATTTAGGAATGGTAGACAAGTAAATGATACCCCTCTTCTCCTTCTTCCCCTTATCACCCGACTTAAGAAGTTGTTTCTCTTCATTTTCGCTGTTGACATCACTATTTTCAATTTCTGAAGCAGAATCCGCAGAATTAGCGGACTGAGCCATGTTTACGTCGAACTAGCCAAAACGCAAACGCAAAAGCAATCCATGTTTTCGGTTGCTCTCTGTGAGGTATGAAAAACTACTAGAGGTAGAGAGGCGACTAAAATTTAGCTATGAGAAAATAAGGTGTCAAAGATATGCGGGTTAGAGTCTAGGACTCTAATGAGAGTGGGGTTTAGAGGACTTTAATGTGGGATGGTTGGAACTGGTTGAAGTCCTTAAACTCTTATGTGAGGGAGGCCTCAGGGTAGATATTTAAAGTCCTAATGTAAGGAACAAAACAATTTATTAATAACTGTAAGTTTCTTCTGAATAATGGAATGGTGACCCATATCACACAAAATATATTCTCGACAACCCATTTTTTAAAAAAGTGGGGCAGGGGCGAGCATTTCTTTGTTAACATTTTTTAGTTCAAAGTTGATTTTATATCACATACCAGAAAGCTTCTCATTAATAATACAGTACTTTGAAAAACAAACAAAAAACTTTAACATGCAAGACAAAACATTTCTTTCATGATGTTTGTACAAAAATAAAGGAAACTTGCCAAATTATTTCTGGATATTTTCAGGTAGCCAAGTGCTGTAATAACAAAAATGAGCAAACATAAAAGTTGAACATCATCTAATGAATTTAGAAACAGCAAAATGAAAAACGAGCACTAAGACAGACATCAGAAGGTTTAAGATATTGTGCCCTTAAATTACAACCAGCTACAGTATCTGTAAAACGAACATTACAGCTTATATAATGTTTTTCAACAGTCTTTCAGCTTTTGGATCCTGTGGTAATATTTACAGTCATATGTTAATCTAAGCCCTAGAGTAAACTGAAGTAACAATGTGTGCAGAATTGAAAATCCATTTGAAAAATGCAAAAACTGAGAATGACTGGCAAAATCTCAAGAAGCACTGCCCATTGCCATTTCAAATAAATAAGTACAGTATAACCTCCACAAAACAAGCAGATCAGGTCTGAGGAATGTTAAAATTAGGAAGAAGGTAATTAGAGGTTTGGTATTTTGAGGATCCACAGTAAGTATCATAAGGATTTCCATGCTACAATTTAAAATACAATCATGATAGGTCACATCGCATCCAGCTTTAGGTGGACAACATAAACATAAATTATTCGTTGTGAGCTGACAACTCTTAAGTACAGAATTAAATAAATAAATCACATAAAAAGGAGGGGAGGATAGAAAGTACTTCAGCAAAAATACAGTAAGCCACCCTGTATCATAATTAGTCATGTATTAAAGATTTTTTGTTTCTTTGTAAGGATTTTTCTTAATTAGCTTGAACCAAATTCACTCATCCACTTTTCATATTTATCTAGGTCTTCTTGGGACACACTCTTATTGCATTTAGATATGGCTTCTTCAAAATCCAGAAAAGTCACAGGGAGATCAAGCTCTTCTTTGGCCAAAGTTCGAATTTGTTCTGGTCGAAGCCCGGCTATCTTTCGGCGCATTGACATCATTGAGGCATCCCTAAAATAAAAACATAGGATAGAGACTCTGATAAAAAGAAGGAGGAGATAATATATCAAGAACATAAGTGCCAGTTAGACAAACCTGCAAACATTTGTGATGTCAGCTCCAGAATACCCTTTGAGTTTTTTTGCAATATCACCTAGATTTACATCTGGGTCTAGCTTCACATCCTTTAGGTTTATTTTTAATAAAGCCTCTCGACCCTCAGCTAAAAAAGACAGGAAAGATTTTTAGAAAACGAGCACACAAATGCATTTACTGTATATTAAAAGTAGGAGGTATTCTAGATTATTATTCATAATATGGACTTCTAACTTTTAAAGAACTTACTGTTTGGAAGGGGAATATAAATTCGTTTTTCTAGTCGCCTTCTCAACGCTTCATCTATATCCCAAGGAAAATTAGTTGCAGCTAAAACCATGACAACCTTGCTAGGATCCTCACTGGAGCAGAACAGCAGAACAGAAAAGTTAGCATATATTGTGAGAACTGATTGCAAAACAAAGAAGGAACATGACTATTACCTATTTGAACTGATTCCATCCATCTGCACAAGAAGTTCTGACTTCACCCTTCGAGATGCTTCATGTTCACTTTCAGATCCTCTTCTAGAGCACAATGAATCAATCTCATCAACAAAAATAGTACTAGGAGCATAAAACCTGGCCTGAAAAGAGAAAACAAAAAGATTGAAAGACTTTTGGTAAAAAGAGAGCAGAGACATTGATTATTACATACAAGCAAACATAAATAAGAAGTACCATTTCAAATAGGAGGCGAACCAGTTTTTCAGATTCCCCACGATACTTGGATGATAGAGTTGAAGAAGACACATTAAAGAAGGTTGTGCCACATTCGGTTGCAACAGCCTTAGCCAACATAGTTTTTCCTGTGCCAGGAGGTCCAACCATGAGGACACCTTTCCAGGGTCTACGAATCCCCTGAAAGAAGACAAGACAGAGTACTCCTTAGATACTTTGGTTTTCAGATATACACCAATTCAATTGTTAAAAGCACTAGCATACCTTGAAAAAGTCAGGCATCCACATAGGAAGAACTACAGCTTCTTCTAACAGTCGTTTGGCTTCATGTAGATCAGCTATATCATTCCAATGAATATTTGGGTTCTTCTGGACAATATCTCGCTCTGAAATGAAATGTGAGTCATTGAATCATCCATCACACATTTTAAGATTTGATACACCATGCACATCATAGTATAATTACCTAGTATTTCGACTAGTTCATGATCAGGACCTGAACCATCAAATTTCTTTTCCTCAACCTCAATTTTATCTTTGTCAATTTTTTCCTCCTGTGAAAACAAATTTATTCTGTCAAAAAAAGGTAAGGCTCAGGACCACTTAAAAATTATTTGTCAACTTGTCTCATCTCAACATGCAGAGAAAATACAATTCAGGTTGTGTACTTGCAAGATACTTATAACAGTAAAACAATAACTTACAGGAGAGCTGTTACTTTCAGATCGCACCTTACTATCCTTACGTCCAGTATTGGGCCTGTTTTCTCTCCTCACTGGTTTGGAGTCATGTGGATTTGTTTTCTTTCCTGCAGTACCGCCCTTGGCAGATTGATTAGGAGCTGATCCCTTCTTCATGTCAGTACCTCTTTTCTGAGGACCACCTCTTAAAGGTTTTATGGGAGGAGCATTCCTATGTGAAATGAGTAAAAGTTTGATTAAAATTTAAAGTGAAAAACAAGCACTAAAATAACCCTAGGAAAATGATATGACAGCATGAGAGTGCCCTTCTATGTTCCCACTCACTTGTGTTCTACAGGTGTTGGAGGAGGCCAAACATCAGGGTCTCTGTCAGGAGGTGGAGGCCAGACGTCAGGGTCTTTAGGACCAGAATTAAACCATGAAACAGCAGCATCTCTAGTTGGTTCTTCGTAAGGTTGACTTCGTATTACAGATGCTAAAGGTCTTTCAGTATGGGAGTCAGACCGAAAGAGTTGCAATGTGTTAGTCAAGGTTCTTACTTGCTCATATTCTTGAGCTATCTGTTGTTGTACCTAAAAAAAAAAAGAAAATGTGGTAAGAGCTTATCAGTAGCCATCAGTAGAGTAAAATGTTACGACTTGAAATGCATCAAAGCAAATAAATACAAACCAGTTGCCACTTCCCCTTTCTAGTTGGGTCAGCTATACTCTGAAGTAACCGGTGCATTTGTTGCACTACTCCTTGATAATAAACACCAGATGTTTCATAATTTCCCATCAAAGCCATTTCTCGGGCCAATTTTGTATTTTCGCATATTTCACTTATGGACACTGCCATTACGGTCATCCCAAGCATTGACTTGATCTACAAGTAAAAGGCAAAATCAACAAAATGTCAAATAATAATTTTTTTAAAGTTGCACTTAAATTGATATAGGAGTCTGCATCCACACCTGTACTACAAAAAATAACAAAGTGCATCAAGAGTTGAGGTTAGAGTACTTAGTGAAAGAAGACGATATTAGAGCAGTAAAAATTAAAAACAGATAATTAAAGTAAATTTAAAATAAATTTAAGACTTAATGGTTGATAATAGATAGTATAAATTCATGAACAGAAGATATTCTGATTCTAGACATCATGAGCCCACCTGTGTATTCACGCAATGTATTAAATTAAACAAGGCCAACAGACGAGTTGTCAATGATTTCACATACAGAATTTAAGGGTAAAGATAAACTAGAAACTATTCTCACTGTTCAGTGATGGATCAAACATTCAAAATATCATAATTTTTTATCTAAGACGATTGGGGTGACATCCTTCTCTGTGTATGAATGCGTCACTGCCTTTAAACATAAATGCCATTGTTTCCAGTCCTCCCCACTCCCATGGACCTTAAATTCAGAGACGTTACAGTTTGTTTTCTGCTGGTGAATATTGCTTATAGGAGTGAAATAAGGCATTATAGACACGACAGCACTCTCGCGACTTTTTTGATACAGTGAAATACGCGTATTGACAATTATAAAAGACTGTACATACATTTGATGCTTTCCACGAAATTTTGTCCCATCTGGCCTCTTGGTCTAGGGGTATGATTCCTGCTTTGGGTGCAGGAGGTCCCGGGTTCAAATCCCGGAGGGGCCCTTTATTTTTCTCTCTTCTCTCAGTAGCGCACTTTTTTTGCATTTGCATACGTCGTGCTCCGTTTCATAACATTGGTAGCGGTGTTTGTGTATTTCTTCAATTAATTGCATTTGCTTGTTAAATGGAACCAGGACAAACTCTTGAGAATAGAAAAAAAATGCTTGTTCTAATATTTATTTAAAGGGTATTGTTCACCACCAATGAAAAAAGAATCATATAATACAAATTGACACAAAAAATTCATTCCTTATAATGTTACACAAACACTCTGACCTGACAACATAAAATTAGGATGCCCGGCTAGCTGCGACTGAGAGCCAGTGACTGTCTAAGCTCTTTCAGAGCCCTTTCACCATTCACAATTAAATTTCGTATGGTAACCTGCAAGCAATATAAGAGATCCAAGAAAGAGAATGAAAAAAAAATGTTGAAGTTGCATTGTAAATCTTTGTATTAAGAAGACATACCTCATCTGTCTCGTGTTTATATTTTCGGAAATCAGCTTGCACCCATTTTTGAAGTTGCTGACGGTCGGAGGGGGACTCTACTTCTCTGAGAGATCTGAAGAAATTTCGATACAGCTTCAACACTTCCTGATGCACCATAAACTGAGCACAAGAAACAAATTGGTACATTTACGAGAAAGTCCTGGCACTTGTACGTTTTATCGGTAAAGTAACTTCTCCGTGCATTCCCCACCTGCTTGAGAGACATTGCATTCTTCGGAATTTTCGAACTCATTTTGAATTTGTTTACAATTTTTTTCAATGATGGTTTAGTTTACTTGCGGTCTGGTTTGTGAATACTTATCATCAAACATACTAGGAAATGCTGTGTGCAGTCTGCTATCATGCTAAAATGTTAAAAGACCACGAACGAAAAGATGCTCAAAAGTGACCATCTGCTGGAAATAATTTCAAGCAAAACTTGCAATCTTAAGGAAGTTTATAAAACGTGACATACTCTTGTGACTGCATAAATCAAATAATTTATTTTGAAAATGAGAAGGAGGGCTGAAGCACTGCCACTGCCAATAATGGGTGTGGTCCCAAACTCACTCACGGTGCTCACAGCAGCCGAAGGCATTTCTAGCAATTTCTAGTTCTCCTGCTCACAGCGCTCACGCTCACGAAATGTGGTCCGAATCGTTAGCGTGCCTGCAGCAGTCGTCGTTTTGGACCGACCGTAAGCGTCAAGGTGGATTTACCACCTTGGTAAGCGTCGCTACGTGTTTGTTTGGAAAATTCTAACCTCTTGGTATGGTGGATCTCCGCGCGATGGATCCAAGATCTATTGCGCTGCTCCAAATTGTCAGAGAGGCGACAGAAAGATTTGAAGAAAGCAGGACCACCGAAAATGTGCCACCTCCAAAATGATTGCTGTTAAGAGGAGCTGTAAATCTGTGAAACCTAAAATTGTACTGAATGGACTGTTGAATATTTTCATAGTATGTGTGTCGCACTTGTATGGATGTATCTATTCCTTATGATTGAATTTAACTTTTTTGTCACAGCTATGAGTTAGCAATTAGCTCTGGGACTAATCGAATTGTATGGTAAAGGTACCTTTTTAAGGACAGATTTCTGCTGGATCTTTCACTCATGTTTCCGTACAACCATGCTGTCTTGATACTGTTAAATCTCGTTCACTGGTTAGTATGTCATGTGTTAACGAAATTAAAATTTGAATTTGAATGTTTTATGCATGTTGGTGGTAACACTGTTAGTTTTTTTTATTCAAAGACTTTCTAAAATACATGCTGTTATTGTCATTATCGTCTTGATAGTGTTATATGAAGAAGCATAATGCTCAGACTTTTTGTTGCATGCCAGGAGCATGAAGTGGTCTGTTGGAAAATGCCAACCTTGGCCTGTTCAATATTTTTATAGTATGAGTGTCGCACTTATATGGATGTTTCTTTTCCTTGTGCTTGAATTTAACTTTTTTGTCGGGACTTATCGAATGACAGATTTCTGCTGGATCTTTCACTCATGTTTCCGGACAACCATGCTGTCTTGATACTGTTAAATGTCGTTCACTTGTTAGTATGTCATCGCCGACATCCGGCGTTTCGGCGGTAAGCATCGTGGTTTCTTGCGGTATCTTCTTGCTTTGCTCCTTAGGTTCCTCATAGTTCCCCTTGTTTTCATGGCAGACAACCCCAGGACGGGGCAGCCTTACAAGTACAGTGACCATGATAAGCCACTCCTCGACCCGCCCCAGCTAATTTTTGATAATTGGAGGCTGAATTTGAATTTGAATGTTTTATGCATGTTGGTGGTAACACTGTTAGTTTTTTTTATTCAAAGACTTTCTAAAATACATGCTGTTATTGTCATTATCGTCTTGATAGTGTTATATGAAGAAGCATAATGCTCAGACTTTTTGTTGCATGCCAGGAGCATGAAGTGGTCTGTTGGAAAATGCCAACCTTGGCCTGTTCAATATTTTTATAGTATGAGTGTCGCACTTATATGGATGTTTCTTTTCCTTGTGCTTGAATTTAACTTTTTTAACACGGTAAGCATCGTGGTTTCTTGCGGTATCTTCTTGCTTTCCTCCTTAGGTTCCTCATAGTTCCCCTTGTTTTCATGGCAGACAACCCCAGGACGGGGCAGCCTTACAAGTACAGTGACCATGATAAGCCACTCCTCGACCCGCCCCAGCTAATTTTTGATAATTGGAGGCTCAGCCTGGCGCACCGGGACAAATGTCGCACATGCCGCACGAGACGTGAGTAAAAGATCTCAGATGAGAGACGACGGCGCACAGTGGGCCAAAAGACCGGTGGAGGCGGCCAAAACTCTAGACGCATTTTGATCTCCCGAGTCGCTAAATGGGACTCAAACCGAACGTGTGACTCCACCAATGGATTGCTCCGATTGCTCTCCGAACGAGGAATCCATAATAATCTAGACAGTGGCCGCCGGCCCGCACGTCTGTTGCGCGGGCTGGCCTGCTCCAAAGGCGCTCCCGCCCGGCCCTGCTACGGAGAACCGGAGGATCGCTCTGTCTCTCTCGCACTCATGGGGCGTCCTGCAGGGGAGCGAGAGATACAGAGCGTCGACCGGCACGGCGTCATCGTCGCTTGCAAATGCGAGGTGGTCGCTACACCATCGGGCAAATGGTCTGTAAAGTTAAGGGCGCGCGCCCGAGTGGCGCCGCGCCGAAGCGCCCGAGCGCCGCTCGCGGAACGAAAACATCTCCAAAGTGCACTAAAATATATATTTTTGGAAAGGGGATGGTTCAGGGAATCCAACTATTGACCCACTTTTTGATTTTGAGCATTCACGTTCGAGTTCATTGCATGTTTTCGTTCCGCGGGCGGCGCTCGGGCGCTTCGGCGCGGCGCCGCTCGGGCGCGCGCCCTTGACTTTACAGACCAAAACACCCGGCCGGGCATGTCCGCGTATGTCCGTGTAGTATCACTCGCCAGCCGAACGATTCCGCGATTCCACGCGGAGGCGTCGTCGTCGCTCTGCCTCTCTCGCACTCGTGGCACGCCCCGTGTGTGTTGGCGTGGGTGCCTGAGAGAGACAGAGCGACGGCAGACAGCACAGTACCGTCGTCTGCTAGGCATAACAGATCAGGTTAGGGAGCGTAATATTTGAATATTCCGTCTTGAAATGACGAAAGGTGCATACCAAACTGATCCTTAGGCTTTCTGCTTTCCGAAATATGTGCGCGTTCGCCCGCATTGGTTCACAATATGAAATTTAGAGACAAAACAGCGAGTGTCATCCGACCGGTCGACCGATCTCCCGATCGACCTCCCCCCTCGACTACCCTCGACCGACCGACCTCCCGATGGACCTTTCCTTAAAAGAATGCGCCCAGTCGTCACGTTGGATCGGTCTCCAAACTGAGACTGCCCCCCCCCCCCTCTTCCCCTCGGGCCACGCGCACGCGCCTCCGCTACTATTGTGGTGTGAATAGTCGGTACTTCGTCTGCACCCCTTTGTGAAACTTACGCGTGAGGAGACGGAAGAACACAATTAAACAACACCATTTGGCTTTGTCTTCTTGAGAGACGACTCCTTTTACCTCATGCAAGGAAACGGAAATCTTATCTTGGTTGGTTTTGCCTGTCCATGGTAGTTGAAAAGAGCTACTTTGTATATTATAGGTGTTGACAAGGTTATGTTTTGAACATCACTTGGTTTGTCTTGTCTTCACAATGTTCCTTGTGAAGAGATCTTTCGTTAAGACTTTATCAACGTCACTGGCAAATTTTTCTTCCAAGACCAACAAATTTGATCCAAGGTCACCCGAATTGTCGCAACTTTTACAACCATGGGACCGAGGCCAGACCAAAGCAAAGAAGAAAACATTCTTGAAATTTTTTGATCAAGGATTACGTCCGACAGACTTACTAAAGATTCTTCAAACACCAATTGACCTCAGAGCTTCAAAACTGAAGTCATGGTGGCAGAAGAAACTCTTAGACCGAAATCTTGAAATTCAAGAATACGATGGTTTGCGAAATGCCTCACTAGGAAGCGATATTTCCATAGGACATGCCCTTCTGCCTCTTGGAGTTGGCCTTCTCTACAAAGGGAAGCCATGGATGAAAGCAGAAGTGGGATCATGGAACATACCGGAGGTTCCAGACACGCGAGAAGATGATTGGATTTTGGAAGCTGTTGACTTTTCTGGGACTCCAATTTGTTATGAAGGACTTCTCAACTTTAAAAACTTAAGTAGTGTACATACTATTAAGGCTCAAAATTGTCCTCATCTTGATGATTGGTGCATAGATATTCTTTGTTCAGAAGTACTAACTTTAGAGCAGTTGGATGTGTCTGGCTGCAAAAATATTTCTCCCAAGGGCTTGATACCGTTGACTCGTCTTCCAAATCTACAGCGAATTGATTTGACGGATTGTCCTGCTTTTGAAACCCATGATGGCGTGTTAATGTGTATTCTTCTTCAAGAATTTAATCCAAACCTCAAAATTGATGGTGTAGTCTATCCTGAAATCCCTGACATGCAAAGTTCTGTAACAAAAGCTTGATGTTTGTTTATCTCAATCATTAAAAAAATTAAACATTGTTAAACTGCTTAAAACATACCTGTGTACTGTTATCTTTCCCAGAGTCCCAGTGTGTTCACTTGGCAAGAGATTGTAAACAAAACAAATGCGCTTTGCATGGATAATTCCATTTATTGATCCTTTAAGGCACAGTGAAGGTAGCAGTGGCTTGATTTGTTTTGACATAAGCAATATGGCAAGTCCAGCCAGCTGGTTGATCATTTATGTAACAGAACTTTCAAGCTAGTCTGTTAAATAAATCATGCGTTTGCTCAATTTTTATCTGATGAGAATGTAACCACCGTGCAAGGTATGGATGGCATCTCCAAACATCTATATTTCAGTGTACTACAGTAGTAGATATCAGTGAATTAAATGAGATCTGTTTAGAGAAATGTGGAGAGCCATTCAACAAAGAATCAAGTGTGGACAAGTCAACAACTTAAAATTTTCAGAGACAATCAAGGCAGAATCCTACACTTCATTTAGTCTAAACAAATAAAGGAGCACAAATAATCATACAACAGACTAAATAAAATCTCAAGTGTTCATCTTCTCGCATCAGTGCCACACATGTGTGTTGCTTTTGTATTGATTCTCTGAGAATCACATTTCCTTATAATATTTAATTAACTAAGTGCTCAACCAAAAACTGCCGATACCCCATGCCACATCCAACCCATCATCTATATACAAAACATCACTAAAAATTGAAACCTCTTTACCATCTCACGGCCTTGACAGATGCCTTAGTCATCACAGACACAAAAGTACATTTCTGTACATTGAAAAAGCAGAGACAGGTGCCCGGCCAATGTCAAAAGATAGAGTACGGGTTTCAAACATAGAGTTATCACCTTTACCTCAAACCATAACAACTTCTTGGACAGGACTGGAGCTACTTAGAAAATAATATTTCTCTTTCATGTTAAGTAGTTACCCAGGAGTTTCCTTCAGAAGACTTTGTCTCAGGTCAAATGCAACTGTGTGGTTTCTAGAGTGGCTTGTGGAATTGGCATCCTTTAGTGGATTACACTCATTACTGCTATATTAAAATAAGAGCAGTCAGTCTAGATAAGTAATAGTAACAAATTTTACAAGTTTCATCTATACATTAACATTAAACAATCACTTTCTGATAATATAACATAAAACAAGCACTTTGCTACAATTATACTCAAAAGACAAATAACACTGTTAATATATAATAACTCTTTTCTTATAACATTGGTGCTATTATTAAATAAAGATCCCAGAGCACTTGTGCTCATTTTGCTAGGGTAGTTTATACCAGTTCATCATAGTTTATATATATATGTACATACATAAAAATTTGAAATAATTAAAACATGCAGATAAAATAAAATATACATTTTATACAATAAGTTGTATCATTTTTTTCTCTAATGAAGGAGGGTACATCATGTCGATTTAAACAAAAACAGATCAGTAAGATTTATACCTTAAACATGTTTAACAAAAGAAAAAAATAACACCTTAATTTCTTCTCTGCCTAAAGAAAAAAACATGAATGGAGTACTCCATTTGTCAACAATTAATTCTAATACATGATGAAGTAAGCAACGGTTTCACCAACAAGAACAACAGGAATCCACAGGATCAAAGGGTTAAACAATCCTAAGGATCAAGATCAAGTTCCACCACATTTTTAAACTTCCTTTGATTAATTAGAGATTGCCAGAGAATACAGGAACAGTGTTAGTACACTAAATAGTGGCCCCAACCAAGGTGACAAAGCCAAATAAAACATAAGGGCAAATGCAAAAAATTTCTTTCCTTACAAAGCTACAAATTTTTGGGAAAGAAAGGAAAGGTTAAAGGGGCATAAAGCATGGGAAAAGAAACAATTTTGTCGAGAGATCATTTATGAAAACAGATACAAAAACACTTTAACTGAATGACCAAATTTAAAGTTTTGTCAAAAATATAAAAAAAAGTGGTTCAATCAATAATGCAAATATGCTATACACAATGAAAGCAAGAACGTCATATAAAAGCGAATGAATGATGTTACTGAAAAGGGCAATGGAAGCAGGGATTAAAATTAAAAGAGTTATCACATCAGTCTAAACACTAGCACTGCAGCAATACAACAAATATAAACATTGCACAAGTAAAAACAATAAAAACAGAGATAATAATAGTCACTTTGATGGGAAGGAGGCAAGGTTGGCAAAATTAACAACACTGACAGGGCTTGGTGGGACATGCGTCACATCAGCATGCTTGGTCCCAGAGCAAGAAATACAAGTCTGCCTAAGCTTTTAGGGGCAAACACCTAACTGCTAGAGGAAGCCGGAATGGATATTGCAGAGTTGGAGTTGGTTATGTGATGGGGAGTCAGAGTTGACGAACCTGGAATGCAGACAGAGATTAAATTGGATAATAATTATACTACTAGATCAAAATTCAAATAAATTTGAATATCCTACCAGGAGTGGTGCAGGCTGATTCTGAACCAGAGGGTAAAGGACTATTTAATGGGCCCCCTGAAGAGTTATTGTGAGCCATCAATTTCTGACGAACTTCACGAATTTTCAACTGCAGACTGGTTTTAGTTGGGAAGATGTCAATATGATCGCTCTGAAAGCAAAGCACAGAAGCTTCAGTCAATAAAATAAACAAGGGCAATTTTTTTTTCAGATAAGTGCCTAATTGAAATTTAGTGTACAAAAAGATAAGAATAAGGTTCTGACCTGAAAAGCACTTGTAGCAACTGTTGTAGGGAAAAGTCCATGGTCATTGAAAAGTTGCATGACAAGCTTGCGTCTCTGCTCAAGGACCTTGCGGTGTCCTTTTTCTACCTCTCTACCAGTTCCTGGTGTTTTTGGAGTCCTGGGAGAGCCACCCTCAATGCTTTCACTGAGTTCAGGACCTTAATGAAAACAAAAACAATATGATCACCGACATATAAACAGAAAACGTTTCTGCATAACTATGAAGCATACTGAACCCTGGTCATACCTCGGTTAAATGCTTCAGGATTGAAGTCGGGGCCAAAGAATGTGTTGCCCACAAGCTTGCCCGATTTTGGAGTAGGAGGAACAGAAACATCTGACTCTACAGTTTCTTCAGTTGGAGTTGGCTTTTGAATTTTACGCAAGTTTTGGAACATTGGACTGGATGTAACTGATATAGCACTGGGCGACTGACATTCCTCAGGTCTAAACTTGGGTAAAGATGAAAACTTTACTTCAAAATTAACTTGCTCTAAAACTCTATCCATGCCATCTTCAACAGTCTTCCTGAAGAAGTTCTTTTTGGATGCAGGCGATGGTAATGCTGATGAAGGTGTGTTTACAATAGAGGATGACTCAGAGGGTTTGTTGAGATTTTCCAGTACTGATGGGATCTGATTGTTGGTTAATGACGTACTAGAAGGTACCTCATTTGGTGCATTACTGTTACTGGATGTAGGCACAACTGAAAATAAATCAATAAATTAATTCAACAGTAACTTCACTGGAAAATGTCATCTTAGAATGAAAGAAACATACCCATCGATTGCCTCCTCTGCAAAGGAGCTTTGCCAAGCTGGGCAGGGGTTGGTGCAAGTACAAATGTAGTTGTTTCTTGGGGCCCAGTCTCAGTGACAGGCTGGGAGGTGAGATCAGCCAAGGCTTTTGGAAGACTCTCTTCATGTTCCTACAAGATTCAAGACACAAGCTACATGTAGGCAAGAACAACTCAAGAGAAGAACAAAATGGGTACTATCTGTCTGTACCTGATTACTGGAAGACATCATTGAAGATTTGTTGGACTCTGCAGAAGAATTGTTGTTATTATTGCTAATGGTCCTTTCTTCCAGTATGACAGCACTATCATTAGAAATTTGGGGATGTGGCCTTTGTGCAGTTTGCTTCTCATCTTTTGTTTCTAAGTAATAAGAACCTTGGGGATGTATGGAGTTAGCAGATGAAGGGTTGTTTGTGGAGATTGGATTCCTTTCTTGCTGGGTGCCACTAAAATGTCAAAAAAAAAAGTTAAAAAACTATGAGATAAATATTTACAGGCATTTAACATTGAGACTGGGTTTAGTACTTGCCTGGTGGTCATAAAAGTAGATGGTACCGTAGATGTAAACAATCCGGGTTTACTGACAATGACAGTGGGGGTTTCAACGGATGAAGTCATCAGTGGAATTGATGAAGTCTGTCGAGCATCTGGAAGAATTTGATAAATGATATTGTGCCTTAACAGAAATACAAGAACAACAACTGTGAACTAAGTTCTGGATATTGACACATACCTGTAAGTGGTATTTGGAAGCCCCCTTGGGTGAACAATTGCCTAGTTGGAACCAGGTATTGAACATCTGAATCTTGAGAACCAGGTTGTCCTCTTACAACAATATAGGACTGAGGTGCTCGGTCAGGAATACTCTGCAAAATTGTTTTGATAGGGATTTGATCTTCAGAAACTTTGATGGAACCATTGAGAATTAAATCAATCTGCATGTTATGAGTATTATTGTGGTTTTGTGTGGGTTTAGTTTGCTGAATCAATGGTTCATTCGACTTGATGGTGATGGTATTGTTCACAGGTGAGTTTGAGTCCGCGTCCATCAGCTTAGAAATGCTATTGGATGGTTGTTTGAGTTTTAGTTGTTGCATTTGCCAAGCCTCATTTTGACTGGAGACAGGCATTATGTTGACAGAGCACACTGTGGTGATAGGAGCGGCGCTGTCCCAAGCTACCACCGAGGAGGCAGGGACACTTGTCACAGTCCGCAACTGGGAAAAGAATCAAGAAGGAACAGGCATGAGTCAGTGAAAAAAGAGTAGAAGAAAAAGGAATAAAAATTTAATGAGTTAATAATGAAAATTAAATTTTAAGAAAAGAAAGAGTGGCTGAATGAGAAGGAAACAGCAGGGTAAGAAAAATGAAGAAGATAATAAATAGTAACTTCAGTAAATAGGAACACTGGGTGGGCCTCAACTCACTGAATTTGACAAGAAAAATAACTAGTATTGATTTTCACAAATACCTTTCAGCAAACTACAGATCAAGATAAAGAGGAAGTGTACAATGACATAAAGCTAAAAATGCATGAAAATGATATGTGTAATTCTTTGTTTTGTGAACTGTTACGATTGAAACTTCTTTTTTTCATACACAGCTTATAAATGTGTTCCCTCTCACAAAAACACACCCAAAAAAGCAATTTTATACATGCTTGCATATACCTAAGTAAAAACAAAAAAGAAAGATTGAAATCAGATACATAAAGCAAACATACCTGTGGTTGGGTTTGACTTATATTGGAGGAGAAGGTTGAGTTGGTGTAGTCAGATGTAGTAACAGTTGAGCCACTCCATGCTAAGGTCAAAGGCTGTTTGTTTCGGATTTGATTCTGATTTGATGAACTGTTACTGGAGAGTGGGAAACAGCTTTCTTGGTCTACTGTTGGCTTAACAACCTAAAAAATATAGGGCAAACAAAAAGGATGAATTTGAACTTTTCCAGTGAAGCGCCAAACCAACTTGCCTAAAACACCACAAACAGGCCAACTTACTTTAGGTGATACTGGCATTGTCTTAAATGCCCCACCAGTTGGTTGGAAACCTGTGACACCTCTTGGGTTTACTGGGGAGTGGTATGGATAAGCGATGCCCTCTGTTGAGCCTGGTTTGTCACCATTAGAGCCATGAAGCTTAGAAGAGACATCCATGCCCCCTTGCGTAACTCTGCAAAGACAAAGAATTAATATCATATTATAATATTAAGATATCTTCATTGCAAGAGAGTGTTTTTTGTTACAAATAAACTGACCTGATGGGTTTTGGTCGACAAGCACTGGGAACATGTTTAACGCCAGCTGCTCCAACAGAAATTCCACCCACACCAGACACAGGACTGAAACGCTGTTGTGGAAACGCCTTGTTTTCAAGAAGTGGTTCAACGTCACTTTGGGACTCAGAATCTGAATCTGTCACTTTTTCAGGGCACTTGAGGTCTATTTCATTAGTGGGTTCTTCACAAATTACCTACAGGTTGGAAAAGGGTAATTAATTTTATGCACATGTGTCTTTCTAGATATGAAAAAGATAACAAACTTACCATTTGGTCGTCATCTGAGAAGTCTGCCTCATCTGCTTCAGCCTTTACTTCCTTCTTCGAAACTGTATCTGGTGCCTGCTAAATATAAAGATTAGATAGGAAGTTCCAGAAACTTTGGCTCGATTGCCTTTTTCAACAAAGTCAAGAAGTTTAATTATATCAACAATACAAACCTCTACAACTTCCTCCTCCTTCACAGGTCCACCCGCATCAGGGCCTGGACTTGATACAGATGGGGGGTGTGTGCCTCCTTCACTGCCTCCTTCAGACCCAGATCCCTTTTGACCAGATTCACCTTTCAGGGAACTTGTGGACGACTTTCTTCGGTCCTTACTGCACCATTTCCATTCTGGATGTGCCTTGAAATGAGCTTCTTTCACCTGGAAATTAACAGTTTTGAAAACGTTAAAATATCACTTCAGAATCATTTAAATGCTGAGAAATAATGCCAATAACATACTTCTGTTGCCAGCTCATGGTACTTTTGCTTTTCCTCGACTCCAAGGGCATACCACCATTCACCCAAGATTTTTGAAACAGTACGATTATCTTGATTAGGATGACGCTGATGAACCATAGCTCTGTGTCGCTTACTGAATATCATAAATGCATTCATGGGTCGACGTATTCTTTCCTTTGTTTGCTGCAGCAAATCATAACATATTAAGGTACTTGTCACAAAAATTTGATAGGGGAGTCCAAGAGACAAAACAACAAACCTTTAGAGGACTTTGAGGCTCCTTTCCACTCTGAATTGCACTAAGAGACTGAGTCCGTCTCTTTCCTGCCACAGGAGCAGTAGTTACATCAGAATCAGCAGCAGGTGTAGTAGGTTCTGCTTCAAAAACATCATCATCCTCTTCAGTTGTTTGCACCAGATCAGGCAAACCTTCCATATCTTCGGCATCAACCTGTATGTTGTTTGCAGTCTATTCATGATAAACAACAATTTATTTAAGTTAAAGCAGTGAATAAGTGAAAAAGTGAGAAACAAAACAATGAAAAAGAGGATTTACCGATACTGAGTGTGACGCTGATGAAGCAGGGGGTGATGCTTTTCCTACTGAAGAAATGTTACCACTTAAGGTTGCTTGAGCGACGACAGGCAGCAGTGTGTCCCATGGATAAACAGGAGCCTGCTGGTCAGGAAGACTAAAGGCTGTAAATGAAGAGACCAGATTAGAACAAGAAAGACCATATCAGCACAAATTATTGAGAAACTATAACAATTACCAAGAATGCCATTCTTCTCTTTCAGACCCTTTGATAGCTGAATCAGTGGTAAAAGCTGAGTTGGAGCCACAATGACTGGATGAAGAGCATTGGCTACACTGTTAACTTGAGCCTGTGGTTCAGCGACCAGGGCAATTCTTGATTGAACAACTGAAGTTGTGGCTACAGTTATCGTTGGGTAATGCTGAGGGGGCACCTGATGTACCTGCCCAGGCTCCGGTTCCGATTTTACAATTATGGGAATATTCTTCTCTGGTGCACTGCTATGATGCTGAATATGAGGTGAATCAAGTTGATTGACTACTGATGGGTGTTGGAAGTGAATAAGTTGCTGCTGGTGCTGGGATTGATGCTGAGGTTGATGCTGTTCTTGAGGCTGAGGTTCCTGGCTGAGCTGCTGCGGCAATTGGTCCTGAGGTGAGTGCTGCTGCGGTGAGTGCTGCTGGGGTGAGTGCTGCTGGGGTGAGTGCTGCTGGGGTGAGTGCTGTTGGGGTGAGTGCTGTTGGGGTGAGTGCTGCTGGGGAGAATGCTGCTGGGGAGAGTGCTGCTGGGGTGAATGCTGCTGGGGTGAATGCTGCTGGGGTGAGTGCTGTTGGGGTGGGAGCTGCTGTGGTGAGAGCTGCTGAGGTGCTTCCAGTTGAGTTGATAGCTGCTGGGGTGGCAGTAGCGTGGGTGGCAGTTTGTGGGGTGGTAACTGCTGAGGTGGTAGTAGCTGGGGTGGTAGTAGCTGCGGTGATAGTTGCTGGGGAGGGAGTTGCTGAGGAGCTAGTTGCTGAGGAGGTAGTTGCTGGGGAGGCACTTGCTGAGGAGGCAGTTGCTGGGGAGGCAGTTGCTGGGGAGCTAGTTGCTGAGGAGCTAGTTGCTGAGGAGCTAGTTGCTGAGGTGCTGGTTGCGGCGGTGGTTGATGTTGGGTTGGTTGCTGCTGGGGGGGTTGTTGGAGCTGATGGAGTTGCTGTTGCTGGGGTGTTGGCTGCTGGGCATGGTGAGTTATAGCTTGACTATGCTGAATAAGTATTAGTGGGGCTTTAGCAGGTCGACTCAGGTGCTCAGCATCTGATGTGTGCTGCACTATTGTACTGGGTGCTTCCGCGGGCAGGGCTCCAATCGTCGAATTGGTCAAAGCCTGCTGAAGGATAACTCCTGGCTGAGGTTGAGAAATAGTAGTCACAGCTGAGTTGGTGGGATAGTGACTGACTATAGTTGACACTGGAGCCACTGTTATGATAGGTGGATCAGAATATTGTTGGCCAGGTATCTGTTCCGCCTTCCACGTGATATGTGGACCACCCTTCACTGTGCTTGGTGACATTCTTATGACACTTGTTGCCGCTACTGGCTGTCCCGTGGTTGCCAGCGGCTGGTGAACAACTGACTGAGTAGGACGGACAAGTTCTGGCCTGAAAACACACAAAAATAACATTGAAAATAACGAAATTGAACTGATTGGTTGGAACTGAACTTGAACATTGAACTGATTAAAGTATCTTTGACCATACCTGACCAAAGGCTGAGAATACGCATTTCCAATGAAATGTGCTTGTACAGGCGATGTGTGTTGTTTCCACTTGCTGGTTGAACCTCCAGGTGACACAAGGCTGGTCTGCCTGGGTGGCATCAATGTGTTTCCACTTCCACCAATCATTGGAGAGTTGGCAGCTCCGGAAGCAGGACTACTAATTGGCATGAACACGTTAGTATGAGGTCCCACAGTGACAGGGGATTGAATAATACATGGGGATGAACCCTGCCCTGTTGGAGAAGAGAAAGATGGTGTAGCAGAGCGAGAGCTACCCAATGAAACTGAAAAACAGAGAAAGCAAAAATTAAACCAAATAATTGTATAAACCATGAAAAGTTATCTCAAAGACTAAAAACATTACCAAGCATATTAGCAGCCTCTGTCTCATCAGATTCATATCTTCCTGCTACTCTGGGATAACTGGGAGAGGTGTCGGAATCTCTTGATGTATCCTCCCCATCAAGGCTACCCATTCCTCTGCCCCTGTAAAAGATTTCAACAAGGAAAATGAATGAGAACTGTCACAATTTGTCATTTATTACTCCCAGTACAGCTTACATACCTTGGCACATTCGATGGACCAGGCCGCAGGCTATTGCCCTTCAAGCTCAAATGCCTTGAGCAGTACCCTCGCCTCTGACTTTCCTTCGTGCAGCTGTCTTTCGAGCAGAGCCTCCGCCACTGCTTCCCATTAAACTTCTTTCTAATTCCACTTGGAGTCGAAACCACATCTCCTTTGTTGTATTTATGAGGTGTTGCTGCTTGAGATCTGGAAAAAAATATAATGCAACATTTAAAAAAAAGAATAAAAAAGGAGTTGACAAATAACTACATAAGAGTAATCAAATTAAGAAATTGGGGAGTACCTTGGAGTAGTAGGCTGAGATCTTGGGGTTATACTGCCTTGATCCGCAAGACTCGAAGTACTTCCTCGGCTTTGCATACTACTTCTCTTGCTGCTTCCAGACAATTTACCACCATCCGCATCGGATGTGAAAAGGATGTCCTCTCTTCTCAGTTCATCGTCACTCTCACCATAATCATCATAATGCCTACGCCGTAAATCATCTGTGGAGCCATTAGACATGGCTGTGCTTGAATGGATGCTCACAGGAGTTGCATTGTTTTGCATTGGTGATGTTGTAACATTCCTGTAGTATGAATGTGGGTCAGATGAATTGGGAACTATCGTCATCACTCCATGTTGCGCTATTTGGGTTCCATTTTCTCCATCTAAACCTCCATTCATAGAAGAGGAAGGGGGGTCGTCATTGTTCATTTCCTCCCACCAAGGGGGCAGGAGCAGTCGTATATCAGCACGATTAACAACATGGTCTTTAGAAAGTGATGTAGGAACGCAACGCACCACAAACCTGACTGGACTTGTCAGTTTTCCGCATACTTGCGCTTCTACAAACACCCTCACAGCTGTATTACTGTCAGTTCGAACACAAACGCGAGATCCCACATTCACCAACGCAGCAGAAGGGCTGGCATCATTTATAATGCTGTACTTGCTTTCACCAAAGACATCACGATAACACGTTCTATGGCCTTCTTCAAATTCCACAACAACATCAGAACCATCAGCATGTTTGATCACACCAGGCACGTACACATTATCTTTTTTTGCTAAACATGGATTGTCTACCCAATCTTGAAGGTCAATGGTGTTACGTTGGCTTGTGGAATGCCTGTTGTGTTCAGAATGATCCATGCTGCCATGCAGCACCATTGATTGGTCCAAATAAGGATCAGGTGGAATATGGACCTCTCTGTACTGGGCTTTCGGTGTCGAACTCGTAAATCCTGAGTAGTCCACAGCATTAGGTTGTGGAGTTACAACCACCACACTCTGAGTCTGTTGAGGTGGCATTTCTATTGACAGTGGAGCAGACACAGATACAGATGGAGTAACAACTACAAGGGGAGTGGAAGCACTCGACATGGGAAGGCCCTGAAGAGAGAAATAACATTAAATTAAAATAATGAATCATTCAGATTACAATAATTAGGCACTTGAGAAGAAAATATTACCTGGTTGAAAGGTTTTGATTCAATAGCAGTTTCCTCTAATTCAGATGGATCATACTTCCGCTTTTTGGGTAATTTAGCCACACTCATGATGGTTGAAGGGCTGGTTTCTCTCTGTATGATATTGATGTTGTGTGTGGGGTTCCCTTGAGGTTGATGTGTCACTAAATGATAGAGTGGTTGCGGCTGACCATCTTCCCTCTGATGCATGACATACTCTTGAGTCAAATCGCCGTTTTGATGCATACTGCTGTAGTTGGCTAAAATGTTTAAGTTTGCCTGCAAAATGTAGATAACAGAGGAATAAGTAAGATATTTGTTAAAGCTCCAAGCTAAGATTAAGACTGCTTACCTGCGTATTTGACTGTGCCGCTACTGATGCAGTCATGCCCTGTCCTGAACTGGCACAGTTCTGGTAAACTGTGACAGTCGGATGCTGGATGTATGTTTCTCCAGTATGATTGTATGTTGGGTGGCCGCCAAAGTTTGGCATGGCCGAAATTCTTGAGAACCTCTAAATAAACATGAGGTCACAGCCTCCCACACTTGATCTGATGTTGGCATTAGATACATGAAAAATGCCACATTTCAGACCAGTAAATCTGCCAAATTAAACAAACAAAAACCACATCAGTTTACATAGAAGTTACAAAAGAATTTTTAGAATTAACTCAACAACATAATCGGAGTGACAAAGGAAACTTTGAAAGCCATTCTGTGCATAACAGGTGAATGTGACTCAGTTACAATAATGAGATCTCTACAAATAATAAAAGCCAAAACAAGTCTAGCAGACTAGAAGAAAACACTTGAGGAATCAAAATATTAGCAGTCTTCAAGGTGAAAACAGCCCCCAAAATATTATCTTAATAAAAACGATGGTCACCAAACATTAATGTAAGTTTTCCCTTCTTTAAGCACGGAAGGGGCACGGTAACCATAACCTATTAATTCTACTACAACAGCAACAATGCCATTAAAATCTTGAAATTTATCAAGCTTTGCCTCGCTTATCAACAAAGCATCAAATTATGAACGCATGCAACTGATGAGCAAGCCACAAAAAATATATTTCTTCAAACATAAACAAACGTTAAAGATTTTGAAGAGGAAAAAAAATTATCATCAACCAAAATGCGATTACGAGAGAAGGTACACAAACAAGGACGAAAAATTGATTCTCGCTGTTTACTGGAGAAAGCAAAGCTTCAAGCTCGACGAATTTCAAAGAAAATTCACCAGTTCGGAGACTTGCAGGCGGCAGGTATACCGAGGCCAGATGAAGCGCGGGGGGCACCATTCTACACACCGATGAGTACGAGTAGGCCTACTCGGCCTGGCCTATTCATTGTAGTAGCTAGCCCTGGCTGCCCTGGCCCCTGGCTGGCGCTGGCCGAACAGGTCTTTTTCCACTCTTTGTTTTCCACCATGGCTTAAATGTCCTTCGCAGCCGTTCCCATTTTGTTCACTGGCACGGTCTCAGGGTAACTCGTGCTTTTCACTTTGACGAAAGGGTTCCAACTTAACCGTTGCAGACAAGACAAAAATTACCTTTAAAAGTACAACTAATATATTGACATCTACCATCGACACCCACAACCATAACATCAATCCCACGTACCCCCACTACTCCACGAGCGCAGCGCGAGCCGCGAGCGCATCGTGAATGAACATGAAAGGACGGCTGGGATTGGCCGCCGCGGGTCGGCCGTGTGGCCCAGAGGGCCTGCGTCGCGAGCCGCCATTGGCCGAGCCGCCGAGCGGACAGAGAGACTCGGAGGTCCCTGGACCCGCGCGCACTTTTAAACAGCTTTCGGCGGGGCGCCTTCGCCTTCAGTGACTCTGGCTGTGGTTTTCTGGTTTCCGTTTCCCACTTGTACGCTGCAGGCGCCTCCGCGAGGCATTCTTATCCTTTCCCTCGAAGCAAGCATGCTGAAAACGGAGGATGCTCGGAAGCACAATGTAGGCGTCACTGCCGTGTTACTTCGTCTGAATGATCGCGTGAAGACAAAAATGGTAAAGCCTTAAAGGCTGATCGAGACACCGTGGCTGTGGGATCGAAAATGCCACATGCGAGACGTGACTGTCAAGTTTCAGGTGCATAACTCGTTATCAATAGAGCACTTCCTGCGCTTGCTTACGGGTTACTATCTTCAAAAAGTTGCGGGTTTCAACAAGGTGAGTAAAGGAAGCGAGAGGTTCGACAAATACGATAAAGAAAATGCAAAGATAACATGAACGTACTCCTTACTCTAGTAGTGCAGGTCGTCAGGGCGCATCCATTCGTCACCACCTGTTTCTCAGTTCGGATGCATCGTTACCCGCCCCTCGGGCATAGCAAGGAAAGGAATCTCAGTCCAAACGAACGCCAACGAGCTCTTGAGCTTGTAGGGTAGTATCAACGACAGAAGATAGATCGAAATGTCCCATTTTCCTCAATCCTCGCTCAACGGGGAAGGCCCAGGGAATGATAAACAAGTGACGAGACGGGAGTAAGAAGGATTATCGAGTATTTATTATCATCTAGGCAGTGAGTTGAGGATGTGTTCGACCCTGGCGCGCAGGGCCTCCAGCTCCCGGTGCACGGCGCGGAAGTTCTTCTCGGTGCGCTCGTTGGCGTCGTGGAGCTCACGGCGCGTGGCCATGTCCCGGCGCACCAGCGACAGCTGTAGGCAAGGCAGACCGACAGGGGGACTTAGCCCTTACACACACTTGAGCTTGTTTGCGGCCTGGCAAGCCTGGCAAGCTTGGCCGCCAATCTGCGATAGGAGCGCGCGGAGTGTCGGTGGCGCCGGAGTGCGCGGGGCAGCGGTGCGGCGCCGCGCCGCTAGAGGGCGCCGCGCTCCCAACCTGCGCCCCGCGGCCCCGCGGCCAGGCTCGCCCACGCCACCGAAACAGCCCGCGATGCCCGCGGCTTGCCCTCGGCTTGACCGGACTTCCGGCGCCGCGAGCGACGCGCGCAATGACGCATACCTCTTCGTACAGCTTGGTCTCGGCGCCCCAGCCGGCGTGCGTGGCCGCGCCGCCGCAGCCCGGCAAGTGCACGGGGCTGGACACTGGCCCCGAGCCCTGCCCGTTGCCCATGATGTCCATGCTGGAGGAGGAGCGCTGCGCCGCGTTGCGGATGGCGATGGCCACGATGCCGTTCCGAATGTTCTCGGGAAACTCCTGAGAAAACAAACGGGAAAGTTGGGTTGCGAGTTGGCGAGCGTGCGCCTCGTGCGCCTCGAGTGCCTCACCTCGAAGATGATGCGCAGCGACTGGCCCGGGTAGATGGTCTTGGCGCGCTCCACGGGGATGTAGATGGGCAGCCGCGCGCGCATCCGCGACGGGATGCACCACCGCACGGAGTGCGAGTACACCAGGCGCTCCAGGGTGCTGAGGAACTCGGCCTGCTTCACCAGCCCGCGCTTGCGGCCCTTGGTCTCCAGGGTGGCGATGTCCGAGACGGCCAGACCCACCAGCAGGTTCATCAGCACCACGGGCACCAGCAGCAGGAAGATGAAGAAGAGCATGCGGCCCACGATGGAGTCGTTGCTGCCGGTGAAGATGTCGCCGTAGTCGAACTCGGACGTGCCCATCACGATGGTCTTGCCCATGGACTCGAGCAGCGTGGGGAACGGCTCCTCACCCCGGAACTGCACGAAGAAGCTCAGCGCGAAGCCCACGATGAGGAAGGAGAAGGTCAGCAACATCTGCAACACGCAGCAACGCGGCGGCAGGGTGGGGTCAGTTTCAGACGATGTCCGACCTGCTGAAAAACAACGCAAGGCCACTCACCTTTATGACGTTGATGGCCACCTTGTAGAACATGAGCACTCGCAACCCCCAGCGCGGGAACCGGCACAGCAGCAGCAGCAGCTCGGTGTAGGCCATGAGCACGGCCAGCGTGGTGACGTGGCGTTCCCAGCGGTCCCCGAGGCGGCCGCCACCGCGCACCTCGTACGACACCTCGGGGCCCGCCCCCGGCCCCGGCCCCGCCCCCGCCGCCCCCAGGCCCGCCGCCGTCTCCAGCTGCTCCAGCCCGCCCAGGGCCTCGTCCAGCGAGTCCTTGGCCGAGAGGGGGACGGACACGGTGGGCGCCGTGGCGGCCGACTGACGGACACGAACGGGGAGTCAGGAGGGCGATGACAAGGAAAAGTGGCAGCAAAAAATGGAAGCCATAGTCTCACCTCCACGCCCTCGAACACCACGAAGGCCACCACGACGGACAGCGAGATGGCGATCCACTTGAGCCACGACTCCAGGTCGCGGATGTACATGAGGCGGAGCTGGATGAGGTGGAGTACTTCCTGGAAAGGGCGTTACATTCAGACACACTGTGAAAAAAGAATAAGAAAATCGAAGGCTCTGCCGGGTGTCGAACCCGTAGCTCCCACCTGTAGAGCTATTATCACAGTGGTGACGAACACGGCGACGCGCGCCACCTGCACGCCGGCGCCCTGGTCCCCCGCCCACCAGTAGATCTGCGCGACGAGGCCCGTGAGCGCGCACACGAACAGCACGTGCACGGCCACGATGGCGTAGAAGAAGGGCGCCATCTTCTTCCACTTGAGCGTGAGGAAGCTCTCGATGAGCGGGTGCTGCAGCAGGTTCTGCTGGCCGAAGTAGTTGCCGCTCTCCAGGATGGCGTCGATGACGCGCATCTGGCGACGCACTTGGCGGACGTGATGCTCCTCGCCGCGGTGCGTCAGCGGGCAGCTCTCGCTGCGCGTCGTCAGCGGCAGTCCGCCGCCGTCCTCGGCCTGCGCGACAGAGAGTGAATCAATTGACGAGCGCCGTGGGACGCCGAGATGCCGTCCCGTCGAACAGACCTGCGCCCGGACTGCCTACCCGCCAGGCGCCATGGCCGGCCACGGGCCGTTGCGGCGGAGGCTAGACGCCCTGTTCAACGGGACGGCGTTCGACGGCCACCCTGGTGACCCTGGTGACCTGCCCGACGACGGCACGCACCGGAATGAGGATGTCGTATCGGACGTCGATCTTGGCGCGGTGGTCGCTGACGGGGTACTCGTTGAGCGCGATGCTCTCGTCGAGCAGCTCCTCCAGGAAGTCGACGGGCTTGGCCACGCTGTGCACGAGCAGCGACAGCGCCGAGCACGAGCGGTTCTGCTCGTCGCGCACCCCGGTGGCCAGGTCGGCGCCCTCCTTGATCATGAAGCGCAGCACCTCGCGCTGGGCGTAGTGGGCCGCCATGTGGATGGGCCGCCACTCACGCCCGTCCTTGGTGGACATGAGCTTGCGGTCCCGCTCGATCAGCAGGGACACCACGTCCTGGGGGAGGCAGGGCAGCAGGGGGTGAGAGAGAGAAAGGCACTGCTCTCAAACGAGTGTTGACAATCGCATACCCGAGGCAGGGCATGAAAGAGGCATGCCATAAGACGACCCTGATGCCTAGGGAGTACGAATGCCAACAAGCGTTTGGACGCAATGGACGCCTAAAGTCGACCTGAACCCCGAGTTTCTTTCACCTGTCTTAAAACTAAAAATTGAAAAATAATAGTTTGAAGCTTTTGAGTGAGCCAGACGGTCGAGGGAGCGCCCCTTCCCCTCCCGTGCGGCGTGTGACAGCGTGCGACAGCGTGCACTATGGCAGTTACTATGCATACTAACGATGTGACCGTACTGCGCTGCGAGGTGCAGGGCCGTGGCGGCAAACAGTGGGCCGTCCCGCACCGTCCTGACGCGCGGGTTGCTCCCGTACCGCAGCAGGACGTCCATCACGTTGGCGTGCCCGTTCTTGGCCGCCATGTGCAGCGGCGCCAGTCCGGGGTCCATGGTGCCGCTCTGCAGCGCGTCCAGCAGGTTGCGCTCCTCCAGGGACACGGAGCGGCACAGCCGGTCGGCCAGCAGGCAAACGATCTCCTCGTCCTGGAACACGAGCAGGCCGTCGGCTACAGCATTAGCGCGGGCCTCGACGACGCCGTCCTCCGGGCCCCCGGGACTCACCATCTCGTGGACGTTGAGGCTGTAGAGCTGCACGGCGCGGTGCATGATGTTGACGCCGTCGGGGAGGGTGTGCGTCATCTTGGCGCCCGCCTCGATGAACAGCTGCACGCGCTCCGTGCTCTTGGACTCGACCGCCACGAACAGCGGCGTCAGCCCGTCCTCCTTCCTCTCGGCGTCCAGGACCTGCAGCAGCGGGTGGTAATTTGAGCTCAGCTTTTAAAAGCGCTGTGCGCGGCAGGGCACTGCAACTGCACCGACCTGCATGGCCTCCTCAATGGAGAGCAGCTCCCTGAGCAGCTGGCTGTCGGCGTGCATGGCGGCGTCGTGCAGCACGGTGGAGCCGTTGTGGTCGCAGGCCGCCACGTCCGCGTTGGCCAGCAGCAGCTCGCTCACGCCCTCGTTCCACTCGTAGACCACGGCCATCATGAGCGGCGTGGTGCCCGTGCTGCTGTTGGGCCAGTTGATGGCCTTCTCGTTGGCCTTCATCTGCGGCAGACAAATCGGCCGGGGTTGAGTACTCGCGAGTGCCATGCACTCCACGGGGTGTCTGAGGTGGGTGCCCTTTCTTACCAGCAGCCTGAGGGCCTCGATGCTCCTGGCCTCGATGGCGGCGTGGACGGGCGTGTCCCCCTTAGCGTTGGGGGCGTAGGCTGAGTCCGGGTCCACGCTCAGCAGGGTCTCGACCACCTTGAGACATCCCGTGGTGACTGCCGTGTGCAGCGCCGACCCGGTCATGAAGTTGCCGGCGCCCTCCTTCTTGAGCCAGCCGATGGCCTCTAGGAGGCGCGTGTCCGCGGACGCAATCCGCGCCGGCTGCGGCGGCTGCGGAGGCTGCGCCGACCGGACCAGAGGCACTCCTCCAGCGGCCGCCTTCTTGACGGCGGACTTGATGTCGTCCTGGACGGGGTGCGCGGGGTGCACGGCGTGCACGGCGTCGTCCGGGGGCCGCACCACCACGGTCCTGCCCTCCACCGCATGGGGCGGGGCCTCGTCGTCCGGGGCGTCGCGCTCCGCGTCCTCGTTCTTGACCTCAGTGACGACCGCGCCGCCGTCCTCGTCCTCGCCCGACCCGGGGAACTCATGGAGCACGTCGATGGGCGTGAAGCCGCGGTCGTCGAGCACGGACCGGTCCGCCCCCGCCGACGTGAGCAGGCGGATGCAGCGCAGGTGCACCCGCTGGCAGGCGATGTGCAGCGCCGTGCTGCCCGGCTCCAGGTAGGGCAGCTGCAAGCAGGCAAGCAGGGAGCGGGCCGAGTCAGTGCCGGGCCGGGCCAAGGGCCGGGCCTTGCTGACCGAGTGCCGCATTCAGGCGGCCGCATCTCGATTCGACACGCCTTCTCTCACAAACATGAACAGCTTCAAAGACATGCGGTGCCAGTGCATGCAGAAAATGGTCAAGTTCGGGAGCCAGGACTAAGTCGAAGCAGCAGAGAGGTCACTTGGCAGTGTTTACCTACAGCGTCTCCTACGGCGCTGTGCGCGTGGTTCCAGGAGTCGTTCCAGGACGCGGGGAAGGGCTCCCTCTCGCCGTGGTCCCTGGGGCTCCTGGTGCGGATGCCGAGCAGGGAGGGCTCTCCGGGCCGCGGGTGCGCCTGGGGAGAGCAGAAAGGGTTTAGGATCAGCGGCGCCACTCGGCACACTCGGCAAAAGATGGCGGAAGTTTCCGCGCACAGTGAATAACCGTGGCGCATAGAAACCGAAATGGCTGGCCGAACGTCTGGGAAGCGTTCCGAACCAACCGGATATAATAGTGGCACTTTTCACGCAAACCCCACCATTTGCAATTAGACCTTTTCTTTGCGTGCTGGTTGTATTCTGTTCCCGTCTGTGCAAGCCTGCCCGTAGTGTTAACGTTACCCGAAATATTGTTGTTCCGTTCCTCCATGTTTGCGTTCTGTACATGCCCTCAGCGGTGTGCGCGCTGAGCCCGGAGCTACCTCCGCTCCGCCCACGCAGGCCCTGTTCCTCTCGACTCACGTGTGGCCGGCCGCCCGAGCTGGCGACGTCGTGGCGCCTGGCGTGTCCTGCCCGCTAGAGCACGGCCATCGCGCCGCGGCTAGTCCTCGTCGCACTGCTCGTCGTCCACTACCGCCGGGGTGCCGCCATAACCTCGCCAGGCTTCGCGGCACGGACGCTGCGCGCGCTGCGCGGGATGTACCGCTGTACCACTGTTAAACGATTGCAGCGCCGCACGACCGGCACGGCCAGACCGGCACGGCGAGCCCTTCCCTCGAGGGGCGCTATCCACTCCGCTCGGCTGCGCCGGGCTGCGCCGGGCTCGGTAGCTGTAGCTTATCATCAGTCGGTACACAGGCCCCGGGCCAGAGCGTGTGTTTGCTAATGCCGAGGCACAAGTACGTTACCGCCGCCGCCACCACCACTGCGATTGTCTCAGCGGGTACACATTTCGCTGCACGGGGAGAGGCCGACGGGGAATGCCCTCTTCGTCGCTCTGTCTCTCTCGCACTCGGGGGGCGCACCGGCAGGGTGTGAGAGAGACGGCACCCTGCCGGCTTCACTCTGCTCCGCTCGCTGCTACCGGTGGCAGCCTCTCCACCCTGACAAGCCCTGACGGGCCGGCAGAGAACACATCCTCGCGGACTTGTCGGGTTGGGTCGGGTCGGTCTCACCGGCCCAAGTCTCCCCTCACTCTCTGCCACGCGCGGCATGAGCCAGTCAGACAAGGACGGAACGTTATCAGAGTATCCATGCAGACACAGACTGTCAACAGGAGCAACCCCGTGCGCCCCGCGCCCGCTACACCGGGCCTGTTTCGCAATGTGCAGTTGTATTACAGTGGCTAGCCGCCGACAGTGGCAAGCACGGAGGATCTCTCTCTCTGGTCAGTGTATCGAAGGGGCTCAGATTGTGTTGGGGAAAGGGCGTCGCTACACCAGCAAAAGGCGGCCGCCACAGGGGGCGGGCTGGGCACGCGCCCCCAGAGCTGGAGGGAGGCGAGGACCATGACGGGCAGCAGCAGCCTGCTTCCGAACAGCGCCGAACTGCTGAGACCGGAGCTGCAGGTGGGTGGAAGTAGGACAGACACGCTGCGCTGCGTCCCGTCCCGCCCGTCCCGCCGCGCTCCGAAAACCGGCCGAACGCGAACCGAAGCCGAGCCGAACGGTGGCCATCTCCGTCTCTGTCGCTCTCGCAGCGCGGCCGGACGGGAATAGACACGGCTGGCGTCTCCCAACCGCTCCGAACGCGACCGCGGGCCCTGATTGAATAACAAGCAGACGCTTCCCCATTGTGCTGACCTGCCCCCGCCGCGCCCCGCCCCGCCCCGCCCCCTGACCGCCACCCGGGGCCCGGGGCCCGGGCCCGGGGCCGCCCGGGCCCCGGGGCCCAAAATTTCGGCCATTAAATTTTTCCCTCCGGTCCGGGGGAAAAAGGGAAATTCTTTTCTGAAAAACTTTATCGGGGCGCCGCGATTTCCAAAGTTGGAAGATGAGCGTGTGCGGCATCTACGTCCAGCCGTTCCAGCCGGTGTAAGCGGGATATCCTACCCCCCGGATTGAGTTACCCCCAGTACACCACCCCTAGGGACAATGTACCCCCCCCTTAGGGAGAGTACACCACCCCGGGGGATAGTGTACTCCCCTGAGAGGGGGAAACATTGACCCGGGGATGGTGTACTCCCCCGGAGTACATTTCCCTAGAGTGAAGGTACTCCCCTCTCTTGAGGGGGGGAGACATTGGCCCTAGGAGGTGTACTCCCCCACCAGCGGGGGAAATATTTGGGTCCCTAGGGATAATGTACTCCCCAAATGGCAGACGCATAGGGCAGATCCCTTTGTCGGGTGGTTGGGGGGGTTTTTCCCTTTGCATCGAGGAAGGCTACTTAATATTCTAAATCTAAACTGTCCAACAAACCTAACCAAAAACCCAACGGGGTGGGATAGATCTTACTCTACTCGCGACGGATGTTACCCCACTCTCGCAGATATTAACAAACATAAGGTCCAACCAGTCCTAACTAACGGGGTCCCCAGATCCAAGGGGGCCCCAATGGGGGGCGGGGGGGGCGACTTGCCCCCCCCCCCCAAAAAAAAATTTGTGGGGGGGCATCGCCCCCCCCCTTCCCGACACTAAAATGCCATTTTGAGCTCGAAATAGAGGGAAAAAAAAGCAAAGTCGCAAATTCTTTGATTTTGGCTTCTTGCTCGCTTCGCTCGCAGGTTTTTTTTAATTTTCCTCCCTTATTTTTCCGTTTGGCCCCTTTGCCCACCAATAAAGCGTGTGATTAGCTCTAAAAAAGGCAAAAGTTGTGTTTAAAATTAGAATTGTGTAAATTTTTGCTTTAAGCTCGCTTCGCTCGCTGGATTTGGAACGCTATTTGAAAAGTCTAAACCGATTTGGGTGTTGCCCTTAACGGGAGGAACCCCAAAATTTTTTATAAAAATTTCGCCCCCCCACCAGAAAGACTTCCGGGGGCCCTGGACGCTGGCACAGCCTCGCTGTTTGACGCTGGCACAGCCTCGCTGTTTTACGCTGGCACAGCCTCGCTGTTTGACGCTGGCAAGCCCCGCTGTGTGAGGTGGCACAGCCTCGCTGTGTAGGGTGGCACAGCCTCGCTGTGTGAGGCTGGCACAGCCTCGCTGTTTGACGCTGGCACAGCCTCGCTGTTGAGGCTGGCACAGCCCCCTGTTTGACGCTGGCACAGCCTCGCTGTTTGACGCTGGCACAGCCTCGCTGTTGAGGGTGGCACAGCCTCGCTGTTGAGGGTGGCAAGCCTCGCTGTTTGACGCTGCACAGCCTCGCTGTTTGACGCTGGGAAAGCCTCGCTGTTTGACGCTGGCACAGCCTCGTGTTTTACGCTGGCACAGCCTCGCTGTTTGACGCTGGCACAGCCTCGCTGTTTTACGCTGGCACAGCCTCGCTGTTTGACGGGCACAGCCTCGCTGTTTTACGCTGGCACAGCCTCGCTTTTGACGCTGGCACAGCCCCGCGTTTTACGCTGGCACAGCCTCGCTGTTGACGCTGCACAGCCTCGCTTTTGACGCTGGCACAGCCTCGCTGTTTGAAGCTGGCACAGCCTCGCTGTTTGACGCTGGCAAGCCTCGCTGTTTTTGGGCTGGCACAGCCTCGCTGTTTTACGCTGGCACAGCCTCGCTGTTTGACGCTGGCACAGCCTCGCTGTTTGACGCTGGCACAGCCTCGCTGTTTGACGCTGGCACAGCCTCGCTGTGTGCGGCTGGCACAGCCTCGCTGTTTGACGCTGGCAAACCTCGCTGTTTGGGGGCTGGCACAGCCTCGCTGTTGAGCTGGCACAGCCCCGCTGTTTGACGCTGGCACAGCCTCGCTGTGTGAGGCTGGCACAGCCTCGCTGTTTGACCCGGCACAGCCTCGCTGTTTTACGCTGCACAGCCTCGCTTTTTACGGGCACAGCCTCGCTGTTTGAAGGGCACAGCCTCGCTGTTTTAGCTGGCACAGCCTCGCTGTTTGACGCTGGCACAGCCTCGCTGTTTGACGCTGGCACAGCCTCGCTGTTTGACGCTGGACAGCCTCGCTGTTTGACGCTGGCACAGCCTCGCTGTGTGCGGCTGGCACAGCCTCGCTGTTTGACGCTGGCACAGCCTCGCCGGGAGGCTGGCACAGC